TTCCACAAAGCCACAGGCAAGGATTTTGTCTCATCACTTCCTTACAACCCTTTTAGGGATGGCACAGGAATGTTTACACAGATCAGTGTAAGGTTATTATCCATGGAAGAAGGTGCCTCCTGGTTATTATGCAAATACTACCAGTGCTGAGATCAGAGGGTGCAGGAATTTAAAAGCAGGGAATCTGAAGTTGGACAGTGACATTTCCCATGGATTATGGACCAGAATGGCTAAACACTTCAAGGTACCTCCAAACAAACCATAATCCTCACCAGCTCCAGCTGGGGACACCGAGGACACATTCATTTCAAACTCAGTCACAACAGATGCTGGCAAGACCTCACACAGTTGGATTTAGAGGACTCCTCACCTGTTTTCATTGCATTTAACCTGCAGAACATGCCAAGTATCCTCCAAGTGCACCTGCACTGTATGCTGCTCTTTACTGAACTGTGATAATGGCTTTTGGTAAGGCAGCGTTTAGAGTTGTATCCTTTGGAATTAAGGTTTCAGAGGCACTTAAGCCTCCAGGGAGCTCTGACCCAGTGTTTGGCTCCTGAATGACAGCAGGATTTTAGGTTTGTCTCACTTGCTGCAAGTTTGGGTCTATGGCAGCTTATCGAACTCTGGTGAGAGCATCATGCTCCAGGCAAAGCCCATCCACAGAGCAAAGGATGCCAGAAATTCCAGTTAATAAATCAAGGCTCCTTTCCTTCCCACTCTTTCAAACCTGTGAGCAAGATCCTTCAATCCACCAGAAGAGGATGGTGCATGTACCTCCAATCTTCTCCTTGGGGATCCTCCCCGAGTACTTTTTTCAACTCCTCTGCTCCTGAGACGCTCTTTAAATCATCTGGAAAGAAATCTGCCTCCTGAGCTGACTCCCAGCAAGTGTTCTTTAATGGACACACACCTTCAGGTCAGGGCAGCTGAAGATACTCATTGCATTGGTCCATGGTATGACCCTGCATTATCCAGTGGAAGTGAATTCTAGAGATGTTTTACTGGCATTTAGAGGCACCATTTGAAGTATTTTCCTTGTCCTTCACCTTGCTTGGCATTACTTTATTGCATGCCCAAACATCTAGAGAAGTAAACATAAATGCTGGCAGGAAATACTTAAGTCATAAATTTAATTAGAGGGCACTGAAAGCCTCTCTAATTACTTACTGCAGGAGGGGAAGCTGTCGCTGGTAGCTCGAAGGCTCTTGCTCTTATTGAGCAGCAGCAAGGAATTCTCCCCACAGGAGAAAAAAGAGCAAGTCAAGTGTATCCTAATTAAACTAATAAGCCATCTAGAGTGGGGCTTTTCCTAAATAGGCCAGAGGACTCTTAAAAGCACTCCAGCTCACCTTCACCTTTCCACCAGGCTGCACTGCTGGAAGCTCAGCTGGGGGACACCTGGGAGCCCCCATGCTGGCTCACCAGGCTGGTGACAAGGTGGATATTCAGCTCACAATTCAGAGCAATAACATGAACAGCATTGTTTCTTTGTTTCTTTGAGAGATGAAGCTTGCCAATCATTAATGCATAAGCCAAAAAAAATCCATTGTTTCTTTGAGAGATGAAGCTTGCCAATCATTAATGCATAAGCCAAAAAAAATAAACAGAGAGAGCAAAATAAAAGAAAATTTTAAACAAACTCTGCACGACAACTTACGTAATGTTAATGAAGCTTTTGCTAGGTTAGACGTGCTAAGAAATCTCTACTACTTACTGAGAGCATATTCATCACTAAAACATGAGTTATTTCTTCTACAGATGGGTTAAAAATGCATTTGCTTTCCCACTGCCAAATGTAAGAGGGAAGAGACAGTGGAAACACAGCAGACAGACAACCATGGTCTGGGCACCTCCACATCCTGAGAGTGTGTCTGTTCTCACATCAGCCTTTTGCTCAGGCTCCATATGAAATATCTGCAAGCTGATTAATACCCTTTTTCTGCTATGAATGAATAGTAATCAATGCCTCTTTTCCCCTACTTTGCTGAGCTTGCTTCCCAAGGGAAGAAACCACCACTCTCAGGCAAAAATGGAGCCACAGGTTGCCTCCCTGTACACACTCAGCCCAAAAGCATGAGCCTGTGCTGGCACACACATCTGACCAAAGGTTTGTGCTGGCTGAGTGTCTCCAGGGTTTTTGGTCTTGCATGAGTGAAGGAAAAGCATTTAGGCTTCTATTACAGGAGCATTATTGCCATTAATAAGGCAGTAACATCTACCTCCCTCTCCAGTAACTCTATAAATTATCAGTAGGAAGAAGGAGGGGCAGGAAGATGGGAAAAAGTTGGATTTTATCTTCTCACCATAGCATTCAGTCATGTGCACAGCAAGCTAGCTCAGAAACCCAACAAAAGCACAATACAGAGGCACATCACTCCCAAAAATCCTTTGGCAAGATCAGTCCTGATCACCCCACAACAGGCAATTTGTTGTTTTGATGGCAGCTTTGCCTAAATAAAATGGGTTCTCTGAAAGGAGCAGCTCACACATCATCCCACTAATGCTGCAGCGTCTTCATCTCAAACACACAGGCTTGAAATTCACACAGATGCTACAAACACTGTCCTGGAATATGTCATTAAAATGCAACTAACTGCACAGACCTTTTAACTGAACCTCCTTCTAAACTACTGCTTGCATGTAGACATCACATTTGGAACTTTGCTTGGAACTAAAATCAATCCTCTTTCCCACTCATCAGCCAGGATCTGGCTTTTGGATTGACAGTGCTTTTCAGCAGCAGAGCTTGCTTATGTCTGACAGTTCACAAACTCCTTTTTCCTTAAAAAAGGAGAAGAACCTTCCAGTGACCAGGCCTATTTTTGAGTAGCACAATTCCCATTACCTCTGTGTAACATCCATAAGGATGCTTAGGGGAACAGGGATGACCCTCTCACCCTTCTGCCTGAGCTCAGCAGCTCCTCCAGCACACAAAGGCAAATCCCCTCCAAGCAGAGGCTGCTTTGATAATCCAAGAGGCATGTGTGGCTGGAACCAGGCACAGAGGAAGAGATGCAAAAGGGTTTTATCACTATGCAAGTGAAACTCAGAATGCATGAGGTCAGCTCTGCAGCACCTCAGCTGTGCTTGGCTGAGTAAAAGCAGTGTTATTTTTTTAAACTGGAACCCAAAGCAAGCAACAAAATGAGAACAAGCTGCTGTCAGATCAATCTACTGTCAGCTTCCTTCATTACCAAGGGAGAGCCAAGGCCAGCTCATTTTATCCTCTCCTCAAACTATCCTCTCACCTGGACATTACCACTGCCCTAACAGCCACAGCCAGATGTAGCCAGTCCCAAGGCACCTTTAAGCAGACAAGAACCTCTATTTCTTAATTTTCAGAGTGCACTGCTTCCAGGGTGTTATTAAGCTGTGGAAAAATCAGGTCCCAGGAGAAGATAATAATAAAGCAAAGTCCATTGCAGTTCCCTCAGTCTGCTGCCTCACTTTCAGGCAATCAGCTCAGAGACATCCAAGTGCAGCAGCAACATCTGTAAGTTATATAAAAAGCTATTTCAGTCTACTACAGGTCAGAGCCCTCTATGTTGAGGGGCAAAGGAACAGAAAGTTGAGTTCAAAGGATTTGCCTTTGGATTTTTTGTCCAGTGTGCAGGGAATTGCCTGCAGAGTGCTCGGGAGCAGAAGAGCGATTAGCAAAAATAGTGTGGGATTCAGCACTTCTTCCCTCCAAACAAATCCTGTTTATGTAAAGCCTAAGGGATGAGGGTGATAGCTTGACAAGATAAAATGATAAAAGTGAGTGAATGCAAACAGACTGTCATGAAACCACAGAGAGAAACACTGGGTATTTTGCAAAGAATAGACATCCTTTGGTTGGGTTGTATTTTTTAATCACAAAAAGCAGACATCACGTTTGTGGCAGGGGGGAAAAGAAAACAGGTGTTCACGACACGCTTTGGAGCTTTATGTATCAAAGCTAACTGCCAAAATCCACCTCCCTGTTGTCTGTTTTCCAGCAAAGCCCTGCTCTGCTGCCTGGGTAACCAGCACACCCGCCCAGTGCTCATGACAGGGACCCCAGGTATTTGATCATCTTGTTGTTACCTGTGCCTGCTAAACACAAACCAGGGAACTGCACATGTTCAGCCTACATTGTGTTTATATAAAGCTTTAAATTCCTATTTTTCCCCAGTGTTGAGGCTTTCTGGAAATGCCTGACACTGTGCCAGGTGCGCCCTGCAGCAATAGCAGGGGGAGATGCTGATGTCCCTTTGAAAGCTTCATTTTCAGATGGTGCAGATGGAAATGCTGCTAAAAGCTGGAGGACCATTGTGTGATATGATGGAAAATTAACTAACCTGCAGTCATCTGCATCAAGGAGTCCATCTGAGCTGCCAGTCCTGGGGCAGAGATGCCTTTACCACCCCAGTGGGATTTACAGTGTGGATAACAACAAATGGGATGCTACGTGGCTCCTCTTTCACAGGGAGACAAAACTAGATCAGAATTAAGATTTTTACCTCTCATGACAGCACAAACACCCAGAACAGTTGTGCAGTGCTGCAGGAAGAACCTGGCCTCAAAAGGGGAACAGAGAAAGGCTGTTCAGTAGGGGGGAATACATGGGTGGGACACAGAAAAGAAACCACAACATCTCCTTCCTTTAGGAATCTGGAGGTGAGATTGGAAGGGAAAGGTACAGTGAGTTTCCCCTGAAATGGTTTAACTTGTGGGGCTCTCACACAGTCAGAAAGAAGCAGCAAAGAAATGTGATTACAACCCATGATTTCCCAGCCCACCAGCATATAGGAAGTGGTAAGATTTTGTCTGTAAACATTAAAATAAGGTCCCTTTATAGAAAACAATCTTTCTGTCATTACAGAAAAAGCACTGCAATGCTACTGAAAACCAAAATGCTCAGAAGAGAACACTTGACACACTTCACTTAACTTACACCCTCACACAGGTAATAACTGAAGGATTCTAGGTCAAAAAAGCCATTAAATAAAATACATTTAGCAGTCCAATGTGCTCACCTTCCCATCGTAGCGTTTCACTATGAACTGGTCCAGGCCCAGGTCTGCAAGAGAAAAAAATACTTACAGAAAAGAAAGCTTTTATGGCACAGAATTAACTATTTCTTGTGTTTTCTGTTTGAGAGGACTGGAAAGTAAAATGCACAGTCTGAGTATAACGTGTGTAGAAAACAAAGATGGGAGGAAAATCTTATTTGGTTTTGTATATTTTGTACTTTGTATTTTGAACACAAAAAACCAACAAACTCATGGAATCAGAGAAGAAAACCTCCTTCTATAGCAGGGCCAGCAAGAGCTCAGCAATCAGCCCCTCTCAAGAGCCTGAAATACCCTTCCAAAGCAGATCCCTGCACTATTACCAGGCAAACATTTCACCTGTGACTCTTGGTACTTTTAGCAACACCTTTCAAATGGCATACAAATGGGAAAAAAAACACTTGTTCCCATAGTTAAATGGGATGTCCCCAAGCAAATCCAAAGTTTGTTCATATGTGAGTAAAAAATAAATAGATTTTAAAGGAGATAAGTTGCAGATGCATTTGTAAGAAGTGGATTTCTTTAGCTGGAATGGAGAAAGGAAGGGAGAGGGACTGTTTATATCAATAAAGTCTCTGATACCTTCCCAAAATGTTTATTTATGTTGAAGAGGGGACAAGAACATCCCAGCCTTAGCTAAGGCACAAAGCTCTCCTCTAACCCACAAAGCCCAGCAGGCTGCATCTAACACCAGTGACTGTACGTATAAGCAAGGTGACAAAAAAATCCAGGAAGATTAATTATCTGAGCTTTGCAATCCAAAGTCAGGAAGATGCATCCTGAGAAGAGATTAAGCAGAACTCAAGTTGAGCATTTCCAGTAAAACTCAGGAGAGGAGAGGCTGATTTTTGGCGCTCTGAGAAATAAAATCTTGTGGAGAGTGACGTCCCGTGCATCTTCTGCCACTGTTTATGGTAATTAGCACATTCTCGTTTCAATTTAAATTAGAAAATAAGATGGAAAAACCAAAATAAAGCCTTCCCCATGCCTGCTGCGTCACCTGCTTTTGAAAGAGGATAATGAAACCCTTCCTGCCTACTGGAAAGTTTCATGGTATTGTGCAGAAAATGGAATTATTCATTGCTCCAGGGTGACCCCCTTGCCCTTTGTGACCCAAAGCAGCTACAGCTCCTCTGGCACCAATTTCAGAGGTCAAGGCAATTGTCACAGGGCTTTCTGCACTTGTGAAAATTCCAGCCAGAAAGCACCTTCTCAATATTTCGTGGGCCAGATAACAATGCAAATTGCATATTCATACACTTTTTCAGACTTTAATCATCTGAATTTTGTCCTCTTCCAAGTTATGGATATAAATGCAGTAAGTATTAGTGCATTTAGAGGTAGGATTGGTCTGATAAATGTGATTATTTTATTACAGACACTTTATGTGGTCAGAGCTCACCCCGACCATCCATCTGGATGGTGACTTAAGCTGAGCTTATGTCCATGTGTCATAATAAAGTCATTTCTCAGGGACACCTCTTTTTCCCATGCCAGGAAATGCTGCTGAAAGACAAATCCCTGACAGCCTGACATTATACATGTATCATGGAAAGCCAGAAAAAGGACATGGGTTAAAAATAGCAAGTGAAAGTATGTCTTAATGGCACCTCCTGCAACTGGACACTGGGAAGTACAGAGGTTTCAATAGAGAGCCAAAATGAATGGATGATTGTGTAGAGAACAGCAAGAAAAATGAGCTGATAACTGTCATTTTCTATATATAAATACCATATGTTTCTAAATAATTATAATAACTATTCATGTAATAAATAAATATGGAAATAATGGCTCCTGGGCTGTCCCAGCAGTGGTGTGGGCACAGGCCCAGGGCAGGGACTGTCCCCTGGGCTGGCTCCCCTCAGGGACCTCCAGGGCTGTGTCCAGTTCTGGGTCCCCAATCCAGGAAGGACATGGAGGGGCTGGAGCATGGCCAGGGAAGGGAACGGAGCTGGGAAGGGGCTGGAGCCCCAGGAGGGGCTGAGGGAGCTGGAAAGTGGCTCAGCCTGGAGAAAAGGAGGCTCAGGGGGGACCTTGTGGCTCTGCACAACTCCTGCCAGGAGGGGACAGCCAGGGGGGGTCGGGCTGTGCTGCCAGGGAACAGGGACAGGACAAGGGGAAAGGGCCTCAGGCTGGGCCAGGGGAGCTTTGGATTGGATATTAGGAAAAATCCCTTCATCAAAAGGGTGGTCAAGCACTGGCCCAGCTGCCAGGGCAGTGGTGATGTCACCATCCCTGGAGGGATTTAAAAGCCATGTAGATGTGGCACTTGGGGACAGTTTAGTCTTGGCCTTGGCAGTGCTGGGCCAATGCTTGACCTCAATCTTAAAATCTTCTCCAACCCAGATGATTCCACAATCGTACTGCACACACAAGCACATTGGTTTCCACCAGTGTTTTACATGGTCACCCTCCCAGCCATGCACAACCATGTCCCCTCTCCTCTGCTGCATTAATTAAGCTGCACACTTAAATTCCTCTGTGAAATTCCTTTTACATTGGTCCTGAGAGAAGAAGCCAATTCAAAAGCTGAAAAGAGGCATTTATGTTCAATGCATCCACTTTTATTCTATAAATTGTCCTTTTCCCAGTACAGTTTTATTTTCACTTTTAAGGACTTAGCTGCCTGCTTTTCCACAAGCCTTTAAACCTGACAAAAGAAAACCAACAAAGAGGGTCTGTTACCTGATGCCTGGGGTCTTTCTTTAAATTAGATAAAAAGCCCCAAGATGCTGCAACAGGAATTGAGCATTTGTGTGGGCTGGTGAGCCAATGGGAACACTGCCTGGATGAGGACAATCCCAGCTGAACAAGGGAAGGGAAGAATGGCAGTTACTGCACCTCTGCTTTTCAAAAGGCACAGTGTTGTGTTATGTTAAAGCCACAGGATTGTCACTAAGTGCCATGCTCCCAAGACAAACAGCTCCTGGCTGGGCTATTGTTGCTGAGCTGCAGGAACACAGGCTAATAGGCATGTTGAACCAGGAAAAAAGAGCTTTTCCACCTTTCACTGAGGAGCAGGGGCTGAAAAAGCATTCTCCCAGAAGTGCTTGAAAGGATTTCCTCAAGAGAGGTAGCAATGAAATCCAGGAGTCATTTCAGGAAGATACCTGGCTGCCTCAAGCTTTCCCGGGACACACCCCATGGCCAGTCTGGATTGCAGTGAGCACCCAGAGCTTCACTCGTTGTTTCTCTTTAACAAACCCAGAGTTTCCACCATGATCTGCCCCAAAATATACTTATATTTACCTGAGACCCTGCACAACCACTCACCTTTCCCTACACATTCCCTTTTGCTCCTGCAGCCAAGGGCTCTCCACCAGCCACTCACTGCCAGCTGCAATGGTTTCCCAGCCAGCTTCCTTGGAATGTTTAACTACCACTGTTTATTGCTCCTACAAATTCTGATGCCACCTACCAGGAGCCCCAAATAAACAGCAGCACTGCCATAGAGTATCTAAGCACACAGCAGCACTAGAAATGTTATTTCAGAGCAGACTGACACCATTTACTCACCAATACCAGGAATATAGGCTGCTACTTTTATTCATGTGATGGTACTTTCACAGCACTCTAAAAATAAAAATGATTCAATATAAAGGAAAAATTACAGAACACTCACTACCTGCCATAATGGGGAAAAGGGGGTAGGACCATACTCCCTGCATTTACTTCTCTCATTTTGGGCTGGGGAGGACATTTTCATAGAGAAGGAATGAATTATGTTAAGGAAAAAACACAGAATAACTTGTTCTTGCTCTTGTTCAGCAATAGACAAATCTAAAATCAAATGCTTATTATATTCCTATTGATTAACAAAAACATACTTTGCATGGATTTTCTCAAAGCCAGCTAATTACCACACTTGATAAATATGCAGTCAATTACTAAGCTCTTCATGTTATCTTGCAAAAATAAATCCATAGGCAATAGGTTATAGACTACAGTTCTAAAAAACCTTTTAAAAACGAGCTTCCAGGAGAAGGGCAATTATATTACGCCAAGAACACAGTTGAGATCAATTAGAAACCACCATGATTTCCTCTGGGACACCAGCAGCTTCTCACTGACGGAAAAACCTTTTCAATTCCTTCCAACTCTTGATATTCTTGTCAGATTTTTCACATTATTTGGGTAACATTCACTCACGATCTGCTTTTTTCCCCCCACTACTTAATATATAACATAGACTCCTTTATTGCCAGCAGATGAATAAAAGGGCTAATTATGAAGACTGAAAAGCCTGCTAACTGTGCTTGTGATATGCCACATTATGGCAGCAGAAAATGCTGGAGCAAGCTTTCCCCTCCAGAGCTGTAATCCAGCTTCTGATTGTTGTATTCAGAGTATTTCCCCTCTGAATCTAAAATGGAATCTGCAAGCAAACAATGAGCTGCCTGAGACTTCTCAGGGGACAACAGCCTTGTGCTGGGGTTCAAGTCCAGGACTGTTTTGTTCCAGGAAGGAAGGATCAAGGGACTTGGTTCCCACCTATCTGCTCCTGCTCCAACAAGCCAGTCAGTCTCCCTGTGAGACATGCATTCCTAACAGAGCTGGTCAGCCACACCAACCTGGCACTGTATGGAAAGCTCTCCTTGATGTGACTTTCAGCACATAAGCTTACATGTAAATGCATTTCTTCCTCCTCCCTGGCTCTTTTCCTGGGGTCTCATACCAGGCATGACAGGCTCAAAGATGATTCTTACCCAGGCATTGTTTATTTCCCCAGAAAAAGAGCCTCACCTTGGTCAGGAGACAACCAGAGTTACCTCTCACATCCTTGCTCTGAAGAGCTCTTCAGCAGATGTACCAGGGAAGAATAGAGAGTGAGTTCCCAGAAGGACTGGAATCCCAGAATCTCTGGCTTCCTTCTAGGTCTTAAAAATCCCACTGACCACTTTGTGTAACTTCAGGGATCCGTACCAGCCCAGGGAGTTCTCCCCTCCTCATTAGATGAGTGCTTGTCTCAGCTCCTGGCTGATGGCTGTACAGGAGATCAGATCCACATTTCATAAACTTTAATCAAAATTACAAATAATCACTCCTGCATTGTACCATCCCAGAGGCCAGCTTGTGCTCAGCTCCACATGCAGTTCAGACATGGAAAACAAACCATTTCTAGCAGGAGAAGCAAGCTGCACACTCTGATGCAGCCACCAACAATCAGCTCTGTCCTCACAGCTCCTCTTCTGTCACCATTCCCTGCAGGGCCACAGCTGCTGCTTCTGCCTGACCTTCACAGCATCTTTGGGCTCTCTTGCACTCAAACAAAACAAACAACCCAACCAAAAAACCTTCCAAGAGTTCAGATATTTGAGTTGCTGCTCATTATGTGGTGAAGCTTGAAATGCATCTTTCCTCTGGCAGGAGTCTGGGATAACCAGTGAGGTTAACACAGGAATGGAAGAGCAGGATTGGTTTGGGACGAACCTGCCTTCATGACAGCATGCTGGCATGAGACAGAATAAGTATTTTTTACTTCTTTCAGTCCTTATTGAAAGGCCATAGGAAAGCTGAGCATGACACGGCTCCTTCTTAGTCCAGGATGCTCCAAAATACTCACTTTCCCCAGGAAAATGATCAGTGCAAAATGGACACAGATAAACTTGGGGAAATGGAGGGAATCCTTGCACTTCCCCCCAGAAACAGAGTATTTTCAGCTGGTTTGGGACCGGGGTTCCAAGGAAGCACCAGGCAGGAAACAGCCATCCCTTCCCATCCACTCTCGGAGCAAACTTAACCTCTCAGGTATGAGGGGACATAAGAGAAAAAAAAATAAATACAGGACTGCAAGGAGAAGAAATCACCACCCACGCTTCTCCTGGCACTTGAACTTTCCAGATACCACAGAAAGAATTTTTGTTTTTTAAAGCAGTTTTCCAGTTTAATGCCATTCTTTGGCTTCTTCTGACAAACCATTCCAAGCTCAGCGAGCTCGTGTCATTACTTAAGCACACTTTGCCTACTTGGGAATGCTGTGGCAGGAAGTTTGACTGAACCAGAGAAAGCAATCTACAGGAGCTGAGGAATTGGCATTCATTTTCCCCAAGCTAGCAAAACACAGGCCAGAATTAAGCTGACACTTTATTGACAATAAATCAAACTTTCCCCTACGTAATCCGTAAAAATGAATCAGGCACACAATACCCTCACAGTAGATGAGCACTTTAAAAATAAATACAACGGGGACTCAGCTGCCTCGTTACTCCAGATCACTTATACTCCTCAGTGTTTTCTCTCCATAAAACAGCAGAGACATTTACAAGAAGTTACTCCCTGAAATTATGACCTGCAGCTTGAGCACACTGAAGGATTACCTCCAAGAGGTTTCCCAGGAACACACCAGGCTACATCAGAACCCCAGGGAGGGCCTTGGGATGAAGGCAGGATGCTCCAGCCCCAGTGGAGGGCACACCCAAGTCGTGACTCAGGATGAAAGCAGCTCCAGCATTTCCCAACTAACCTGTAACCTAAATTATCCTATGAGTCAAAAGCACCAGCAGGGTGTGAAGTACAGAACTCATCTGGCCAGCAGGTAGCACTCTTTGCTTTCAATTTCTGGTCCGAAAACCAGACCTATCTTCCTTTTTATTTTTTACTACCAGCTTTAAAAACGTTTCAGAACAAGGTTATGGCTGGTTTGACTTTATTGCAGCAATAAGTGTTGTACTCTTCTACTGTTCATTATGTGTTAAAAAACCCCATTTACTGTGATTGTGATGATGTGCAGAGCTGGTAAGGAACAACCACCCTGGAGTAGCTCCATCTAGAAGCAAATATACAAAATTTCCCTAAGTGTTCCGAAGACAGATTTTTCAACTCAACAAAATCCAAGATGCCCACCTTCCTGCCCTGCTGATGGGCAGCCCAAGCTCAGCTTCCATCCCATTCCACTTGCTAAAAGCACCTAAGACCACTTTCTTCCCTTACAAGCTGCTGTGTGTCACTGACTGGCAGCATTTGCAGGAACCATGGCTTCATGGGGCCACTTCAACAGCCAGGATAGCAACGGGAATAAAATGGGAAGTGAGTAGCCAAGACTGATGAATTATTATTTCCCATTAGTCACCTCTGCTTGTCTCTGAGTGAGGTGTTTGCTCAGCATTCTTTCACCTATTTGCTGTACACACCCTAAAATGCACCAAGCACATGGAAGAACTAAAAGAAGAATCAGATGTGTTGAAATGTAACACAGGATGTTTTCAGTTTTAAGCTTCCAGGCAGATGCTACTGCTTTTCCAAGTACCAATTCAAAGAGTTTGAGATAGATAAGATGGTATAAGATAGTAACCTACAGTCATTAATTCACATGGAAACTACAGCCATTTCCAGGGAAAATGGGAATTTGGGATGGAAACCTAAATATCAATTCACCTACATCTACATGCTTTAAACACTAATGCCAGGATTATTTTTTCTTCCCTCCTGCACACACTTCACATTGTTATTTTCGAAGCACAAGGGTACACAGTATTTATTTAGCAGCTGTCATCTAAGACATCAAAACAGTCTCTCAATTTGGACATAAACCCCACACTCAAATATTTAACATTTGGGGGCTGAAGTTCTTCATTAATGCCTGCAGAGACAAGTGAAGTTTTAATTTGACAAAAGCCTGTTTCATTCTTTGAGATACAATGTAGGAGGCCAAGAAACATGAAACACCCCAAACATCAATCTCTAAAATGGAGACAAAATCAATCTCTAAATGGAGACCCCAAACATGAAATGGAGAAAAATCTCTAAAAATGCAGCCTCCTGCTACCCCACCAACACCAAATATTAAGGACAGTTTTCCAGACAAGAGCAAGTGTGTCTCTCCCACTTTTTGATTGCCAACCTCCCCCAGGTACCACAAGTGATGTGTTTGTCTGCAACCCACAGGGAATTTGAAGATGGCAGAGATGAGTCCTACCTTGACCGGCACCATCACATGGGGCTGCCTCAACCCCTTTGAAACCATTTAGGTTGGAAAAGACCTCTAAGATCATTGACTCCAGCCTTTATTGCTGATGTTTTCCTTGCCAAAGCAACCTCCTTTTGTAGGTTTAGGAAGTGCTTCAGTTAAAGGTGATATTTCCTTGTTAAATATAGGAGAAAGGCATCCCATCTGCCCTTCAGGGGCTCCCACCAGTCAGCTCCACTACACTGCAACAGCATTTTGGCAAACATGAAAGGACTCAGGCTAAATTTGGGCTTGGAGCAGGAGACCTTCAGGAGATGCTTCCCAGCCCTGGCAGTTAGAGCTGGGAAGTTCACAGAGCAGGTGAGCAGAGCCTGGGGAGTATCAGCTCCCCTGATCAGCACCCACCCAGCACTCACTCTCTGGCTGCTTCTCGTTGGGGGTGATGGATCTCACAAAGTCCTGCGGGGTCATGAACACCTCGGACTCGCCGTGCTCGTTGATGACCTTCAGCGTGGCAAAGTATCTGAAGATTTTGTCTGGTGTGGAGTAGGCTCTGATCCTGTTCTCATATTCCATCACCTGGAAATGAAATTCAGCCAGCATTAGATGTGCACTGTCCCTGCCCCACACTGACTCTCAGTCCTCAAAGAGATTTGCCTCAGGACAAGTTGCGTGCAGCAACACAACTCTGGACTCTTTTGGCATTATTCCTTTCAAAAACCCTTTCAACACCCAGGAAGATTGGACATATCAGCTGCTGATGTCCCAGGATTAAGAACAAAGACTAAAAATCTTTATTATGAATAAATTTAGACTCTTCATGCTGGCAGAAGAAAAACAAATGCACAAAATCCCTGAAGGTGCTTTAAAAACATGAGCATAAGAAAACTAACTGGCATCACATTTGTGAATCTAAATTGCCTAAAGCAGCCCAATATTTTAACCACAGTGTTGAAGGGTTTGATTTGTGATTAATATATGAGGTAAAAGAAAAGTCTTGGAAAGCTGGGAGAAACCTTTACTTTCAAGCAGAGTCTTGGAAAAAATCACTTGGAGCTGCAGCTGGTTGCTCAGTCACCCAAGCTCATTTTTTCCTCTTTTCTATCACACTGGCAGAATTCCCCAGAAACTCAGTCCTCCTCACCAATCTGCTTCTTCCTAACTCTGCCAGCAGTGATTTTTTTTTTTGGTACCTAGAATCAGTTTTCCCCCAAACAGCTGGAATTAATCAAAGACAAGAGACAGCTTTTCTAAACAAAATCCCAACACAAGGCCACAAGGGTGGAAAAAGGCACAGACACCTACACTTCATCATGTATTAGCACAGAAAACTTTCCTCCTTACTTCATCTTTTCAGTCCTGCATTATATGCTGTGTTTAACAGTCCATAATGTACTTGAAACCTGCAGCTGGCCAAGAGCCACAGGAGGAAAAAATCCCCACCGACGATGTGCTGCAAGAGAACAGGCAAGATCAAGGGTACTGCCAAGGCAGCTGTAAGACCATTCCTGGCTTTGGTCCTGCTTCAGCCTTGTCCTTAAATTCCTGAACAACTTCCTCAGCCTGATGTTTATCAGACAGAAAACACCCTCTAGTTTTTCTTACTTCTAGTATGAAAGAGAGCCAAATGTTTCACATCCCCCAAGCCAGGCCTTGGTAAAGCAAAGCCTCTCTCCTCTGTGTTTGTCCCAGATGACATTACCTAGAATGAAAATATCTAAAGCATTCTCCCCACTCCTCTCTGCATTGCCACAGCTCTTCCAGAATTCACATGTCCTTGCATCAACCACTACAGGCAGTTCCCTCCCTCCTGCAGGAGAAAGTTTTTTTTCCCCAGGCTCTTTGCACTTCTAATCAACAAACCTAATCCCACTTTTATTGCTTCAGTCCACAAGGTTCTGCACAGCTAAGGGCATTGGAATGAGGAAAATCGCTTTACTGCCAAGCTCCAAGTAAAAGATGACACCCACTTTTCCACCTCTTTCTGGCTTTGTCTACTGCTCCCACCTGGCAGGAGGCAGCTCCTTATGCCAAAGTGATCTTTTCACTTGTGGGTGCAGGTCATATCTCACTCCTGCCTGACCTGATCTCATGAATAACACCCCACCCAGCTTAATCAGCCATAAACAGCTCAGTATTTTACCTTCAAGGAAGACAAATAAAACAAGGACAGTATGAAATCCCAGACTGGAGCCAAGAGCAGACACCACAGAGCACAACCAGCTCCCTCCATCCATGGCAACCCTTCAACACAGCCTGCTTTCTAGCTAAAAAGACCTCATTAACCAAATATTCCAAGCCTGTGGAAAATTTTATTGCAAAGCACTATCAATTGCTTTCCCTCAACCCAGCTGGGCACAACTCAACAACCCCACTGCTGCACCTGAGACAGGAGCCCTGACATTCTGCCAGTAAAACCACGTTTCATTTTACCCCACTTGACTTAGTATCCACAATGGCTCTTCCCTCTCCATGTATTTTAAGCCCCTGCTAAGATGCTGCTCTCAGACTTCTTGCTTTCAGGTGCTTTTCTCTTAATGTTTAGAATATTTAGAGTATTACTACCACAGCAACAACAGCTTACTAACAACATGGGCTCAAAACCACATCTCCTGTCTCATCTTTCAGCACAGAAATGCAGTCTGGACCAAAAGAGTAGAATCTAAACTGCTTTTTAGCATCTCATAGGCTGCTTTCATCACAACTGAAATCTTACTTCTTCCCTACAAGGAGGGAACAAATGTAGCCACACTTCTTCCCTTTTGCCTGCAGCTGAACTCACAATTACATCATTCTTGGTAATGAGCTAATCAGCTGGCAAAAACTGACAAATGTTGCAGCCCATCCCTCTGACTGCAAGGCTGGGTGCAACACGAAGCCAGGTCAAGAAGGGAGCAGCCAAGAAGCTGCAAACGGGGAAAACCTCACTTATTTTGACTGGGTGCTGAACATCAAGTGGGTTCTAACAAGGGTGGCCTGACACAAACGTGGAGTTAAGGGCCCATGTATTTGGGTGCAGATAACCATTTGTGAGGGGTTTCTGCACTGCTTCAAAGCCACCTGGACTGGAAATCATGCCAGACAAGTGTCTCCTGACCTCTCACCTTTCCCTAGTACAAAGCAGTTCTTGATGCAAGGAAGACCAGGCAAAATTCTCATCCTGCCTCCAGAAATGCAGCCTCATGTAATCAGGCACCTTCAGAAAGATGATATGACCCAAAGGGAAAAATCCCTTTTTTGCATTTATTAGCAGAGCACATACTTGAGGAGAAGGACAAGTAAGTAATCCCTGTTGCTCTACAAGAGTGAAGGTGCTGCTGAGACTGTTAATGTTTATGCTAAGCCTCAGGTTAAAAAAAAAAAAACAACCTAAATCCTATGCTGACATGAAAATAAAGCTCTAAATTAACATCTCAAGGCACAGAGCATCACCAGGGCCTCCCTAACTATGCAGCAGCACACATTTTTACAGGGTAAATTAATTAGGACTCATTTTCTTCGTGCTTCCTCCTGTGACACACGCCCAAATGAAGGCTCAGCACGAGGAACATCCCAAGGCAAGATACCTGCAGGACCCAAACACTGCCAGTACATCTTGATAAGTCAGCCCTACTGCTGCATGAAAACACTTTTAGCAAGTTAATTAACACATCAGCCCGCCCCCATCCTGTATTACAGCTCATTAGCCTTCAAACTATATTGAGGCACTCAAGTAATTTTTTTCATTTTCTGCCCTACATAGCCAGGACCTACACACTGCACAGACACCTGCCTGGGAACCATCCACACACAATCCCAACACCTGAGAGTGCTTTATGTTTCACCTTCCCCCTCTCACTGGATCACTATCTAAAACAGCAATGTCAAACTCAATTTACTGCTTCACCACTAATCATCACCTTCATTAAAAGGAACATTAGGATAACAAACAAGTGTTAAACACTTCCAATTAGGCTTAATTTTTTCGCAAGGAAAATCCCACGCTATTTTCAATTAATTATGGGAAGAGCTGGGAAGAGTTTTTACCGTGGGTGGTGGTTTGTAGAAGAATCCCCAAGGTGCTGCACAATTAGGGGAGCAGCACATCCTGGGAGCAGCCCTGATTTTGAGTCAGGAGCAGGGCACACCTTCCCCTGTCATCTGAGCTGGCCACATTCAAAGGGCTCCCGGGGTGACTCACTGCAGAACTGCTGCTCAAACGGCAGGCACCTGGGACAACACCTGGCACATCCTGCATTTCAAGGAGCTTTTGCAACATTGGCATTCAGGCCACACAAGGTACATTCTGTCTGGAGGCTGCAGAGAAAAGGTTTGTGTTGGCACAAAGATGATGAGGTCTGTCCCCAGGGAAATCGCTGCTCCTGAGCTCCTGCTGTTGGAGAAGGCACACTGGGATGAGAAGGGATCCAGGCCACACACTATTCCCATCTTTTGGGCACACCTGGCTTGTGTCTTATTTGGAAATCATGGTCATATTCTTCCCTGCCTAGCTTGGGAAGGAAAGAGCTGGTCAACACAGGCACATCTCAAACAACCAGAACACTAGTTCCTGCATGTAAAAAACTTCCTCTGGCTTCCCCAGCCAGCAGCCACGTCAGACAAAAATCAATCTTTACACTCACTGTATTCAAAAGTGAGAGTGTAGGTGGAGGTGGACTGTGGTTTGATCTTTGTAACCTGCCTCCATCTGCTAACACTGGAAAAAACCAATAACCTGCTTTTCTTGAGTGGTACTGGCAAGAGCTGAAGTTGTCAGCGCACCTGACAGCCAGCTGCCATGAAAATTAGCAGCTTCCAAGAACGCACATTCCTGGACAATTCTGAATATCTCAGCACAGTATCTTACTACATCACTGAGCTGCCACCAACATGTCACAACAGGAGAGAGTCTGGAGCCCCAAATACCATGGGGCACTTGAAACCTCAAGTTGTGTAATCTTTTCTGACCAGGAACCAAAATGATTCAGCAGCTCTAAAGGAAACAGCTCTTAATTTTTCATGAGAAGCTGTTAAGCCACTATATATGACTACCCACAATTTAACAGCTAATGAGATGCACCCTCCAGAATACAGGCTTAAAAATAAATATCAGAAGCAAGTCATAACAAAATGGGAGTAGATGCTCTTCACAATTCCTTTCTCCTCTTTGGTGCTGCAAAGATATTACATCATCCAACGAAGCCCTATAAAACTGACATCCAGATGGGCTTAAAAAATAAAATACTGCTGTCTGCCATCTCCCAGTTAGAGGACTCTGTCAGATTAAATTACATATCCTTTAATAACAGTGGTTTCAGATAGCGCCAAGCTTGTCAGTTCTGAGGTGCCCAAAGCTCCTGGAACTCCCCAAGAGTGAAGAAAGGTCACAAGCCAACAATAGAGTTTATTACTCAAGTTTTCCTCCTCTTGAAAATGTGTTTGATCTGAAAATGAAATAGCCAGAAGCATCAAGAGAGTGCCAGGACTAACCAAGAAGAGGGACTGAGCCTGTATTTCAACAAGTACATTTGCACAGAATAATTAAATGAAGAATTAACGTACACCTTTCCTACAACCCTCCCTTCCACATTCTCCCTCTACTTCTTCCTACATGCACTGTGTATATTCACAGGCAAAAGGATGGACTCAGAGACACACACGCTGAATATCCCAGATGGTTTAAAGGCTTTGGCACCAATTCCCTGCTTTCTATGCACCATCCTCACAGCCATCAGTGCAGGAGCCTTGATTATCTTGGACACGTAAGTGGAGGTGGGAAAAGAGGTCTCCATTTCAGAGGATCAGTGTTCTGTGCTTTCCAAATACACAAATTTCAGCCTGCAAAAACTCATGGCAACATGCTGAGAAAGTAGGCTCCCAAAAGAGTGAGGTCCCTCAGAAAATCAAGACAGGTACAGGGCAAGTTTTCCCTCTTGCAAGATGCCCAGGTTTGGTACCTTGCGGTCCCTGAACCCGGAGCGCTTCTTCTTCTTCCCTTCCGGCGGCGCCTCCCCATCGCCCGCCGCCACTGCCCTCCTGCCCTCGCTGCTGCTGCTCTCCTCCTCCTCCTCGTGCTTCATCTTCTCCCCTGGCTCTGCCCTCGGGCCATGTCTGACAGAGTCTTCTGCATAGGCCCTGTACCAGGGAAAAGAAAACACCCGTTTAGGAAGTGACTGAGGGGTGCCACAAAACGGTCCTGCCAGGCTGCACCTGAGTGCAGCACTGGTTACAGTTCAGTGGGGAGGGCTGCAAAGCAAAAGCAAGAAGTGACCAATCCCCTTGGAATTCAGCGTGCTTTCCCCTGTTGTAATCAAATTTCCACCCCACATCAAAACCCAGACTAATGGCCACAGTAAGTTTTCCCAGTCCAAATCACTCAGTGAATTATGACACCCTCTCCCAAAAACTAGACATGCAAGAAACACGGTGAGAAAGGCATATCATACCTCCTCTAGCACTAAATTCCACCTCTGCTTCCCCAAAAAGATGTATTAAGTGACAGAAATGTGTTTTACCATCAGCAGTGCAGGATTCAGGATGAACAACCTTTTTGTTTCAGCTCAGCTGATTTATTTTCTATCTCCAGTAGCTGACAAGCTGTTTTATCCCCTTCTTCCACCAATGACTCTTCTAAACACCAGTGCTGCAGGATTTGTGACAACAAAACTGGAGTTGTTTGTCCTCAAGGTGCAAATAAAACTCTGGCAGAGCCCAGGGCTCCTTTCCCCTTGCTGTTCAAATACAAAGATCTTCAGTCAACTCTGTTCACAGACCAAGACTCAACACTTCAAATCACTCGGAATCAGGAGCAATTTGCAGAACTGCAACTGGCAATGGGATGATTAAATAAAAAGCAGGATAAATCCCTAAGCCAAACAATGCTCTGGCTTTCCCATGCTTTACTTGTAAAGCAGTTTAGAATCAGACAGAGCTCAGACCACATTAACATCAGTGAAATGGTAATCTCTGAGGATCCCTTAACATGTCGCAAGCAACAAAGTCAACAGACTGACAAAATTATTTCTCTTTCTAAAGGACTCAAACAGCTCAGGGAAACATCCCAGCCTGCCCATACTTTAAGTAAATCTGCCTTTACTTTGCATTCCTGGGGATTTATTTTGGACTAATCACAGGGTATGGAGCTTACACACAGGTGCTGCTCCTTGGCCACTTTGGTACAGCCTGGAGCTATGAATGTGGTCATTTACAGCTGTGTGAGTTTGTTTTAAAAGGGCTGCCTTGGGAGAGAAACAAAAACAAACCAAGATTTTTGAAGTCTCCCAAGCTCTAAACAAAAGGCTACACATACTTCATCCTACCAGTTTCCTGGAAAACACAGATGTGCTATGTTATACTAACAGAAGAGAGTCTGTGTCTGTCTCCCCAGGAATCACAGAATCATGGAGTGGTTTGGGTTGGAAGGGGCCTTAAAGATCCTCTCATTCCAACCCCCTGCCATGGGCAGGGGCACCTTCCACAGCTTGCAGCAATCTCAGCACATCAGCTTCCAAGAAGGAGAAATGAGAGTAAGTGATCCATCAATTAAATTAAATGGTACCAAAATAAAAGACAACTCTCTCCTTATCAGCATCCAATAATTCACTGACAGCACAGTACAAGACAGATGGGAATGGGCTAAAGAACTGCAAACGTCCACAGTACTGGTGGGAAGAAGACACTTCATCATTTATGGAATGGTTTGGGTTGGAAGGGACCAGCTCAGACAGGGATTCAGAGGTTTCTAGTCCACAGTGGGACAGAACACAGCTCCTTTACAGGGGTCTGATGTAATAAAATACACAAGTGTTCAGTGAAGAGCAGTATTAATCCTGCCTTTTCATATTAAAATGGAGTTTTACACACCTCCTGTTCTGAAAAGACCCCGAGTCTCAATTTGCCAGTATGTATTTGTGAGTCTTACAGCAAAGCACCACCTTTATGGTCTCCACTGAACCAAACTTTAAGAGACAGGATCCAAACCTGGGTCCTCCACAAGTATCTTAAGGCAGGGAAACTCTTTCCCAGAACAGTCCTGCAGCTGATCTCTCTTGGAGAGCATGAAGTCCATGCTGGCACCTGTCCTGAAGCCTTTCCTGAAAGTTTAATCAGCACTGGCACACCCTTGAGGAGCTGTGGGTTTGGCTGAAAAATGCAGCTGCCAGCTGAGGCTACACCAGCAGCACTGACATGGAAAGCCCTTGTGCAGGCAAGACACCCATCTTTAGTAGCTCTGAGGGAACCTCTTGGGAAAAGGGACAGAAAAGCAATAGGATCAATTGCTTATCTCCACAACTAAGGTGTTCCATAGGAAACATGCTGGAGAATAGCTGTATCAGGAAAGATTTGCTCCTGTAATGTTTGACTGACAGCTAGCAGACCAGGGAAGGGATAGATGAAATTGAAAAATCAAACTTTTTCAGCACATCCCACGCATTCCTTCAATCCATCAGGCTGTCAAATCAGTTGCTCCAGCGATACAGACGGAGGCTGTTTGAATACAGTCAGCTTTTTCCTCCCTCTGGTTTATCCAGGTAATTAACTCTGCTCCACAGTCAGATCAGCATCCAGGAAAAGGAGCTGAGGAGAAAGGCAGAGTCTGTAGGTTACTCCTCAAGCAAGGTTTTAACAGCTATTCCTGAATTAACCACTGAAGGAGCAGCTCTCTATGTGCACCTTCTCTGTGTATTTTACCACCCTCTGCTGAAATCCTTGGCTTCCAACAACTGCAACCTCCATACCTAGATCACATAAAAAAAAATCTTTCAGTGCAGATGTCAGAGTATGGCTGGAGAAAAAGAAAGCTCATAGCTCCAGAAATATCCACCCTGCTGGAATTCCCTCAGCAAGTGAAGACTCTCTCTTCTCCTCCCCTGTTTGATGAGGCTGACTTTCCAATGAAATTCCTGGTGCTGCAGCTTCTGCACAAAAAAGGAAATGAAAATACAAAGCCTCCCTTCACTGTGTGCCAAGATCAGCCACCAGCCTTTCCCCACAGAGTGTGCCTGCCCTGGATGCTGAACCCTACTGCCATGCTTCAACCATTCTGATCTCTTCAGACTTTTTTTCCCTCCAGTGAACTGAATTTGAATAAAAGACGACTTCCCACCCACTTAGCAATATCTCCTTTGAATCCTTGGAGAAAGCCAACAATCAAGTGTAAGATTAGATTCCTCATCTTCCCCCAAAACACTGAGCTACCAGAGGCCTGCAATGATACATTCTCTCTTGGGGAATCATTCTTTAAGACAGACAAACATGCAACCATAGGATATACATGCAGGAAGGATGCTGGGACTCACACTGGGCATTGGCACAACACTCCAAGTTGCAGGTCTTCCAATGAGTCACAACCCCTCACTTGAAAGTATTTTTCTTCTTTGAATGACAGAAGCAGAACAGCACGAAAAAAATCACAAAACTTTGTGCCAGAGATAACAGTGGTCAGTTATTCTAATCCTGAAGGCAGCAGCAAAGTATTCAGCTATCAGCTGTTGCTCAGTCTCAGAAGGAAATGTAAGAGATGGACACTCAGGAGTCAGCAAAGATGCTGTCAGCAAACCAGAGGCAGGAGGGAGGAATCCTGCCTGACACACGTGTTCCTCAGCTGACTAAGAGTTGCCATTCTCCCTGTATGTAAACATCTGGGGACATCCCAGTGAGGTTTAAAAGCCACTTAAGACTTCAGGGCTTTCATGCTGTAATGCAAAAGCAAGTCAGGACACGACTTTCATAAAAACAGGCAACCTCCAGGGATCAGGAGAACTTTCAGCAAGGAGCTCTGGCTCATGCTCAGCTCAACCATATTCAGCACCTAAATTAGTTACCTGAAACTTTAATAAGGAATTCACCGGAGAGGATGAAGAGCCACAACCCAGTTTTTCAGGGTGTTGCCACACTCACAGGGCTCTTTACTACTTTGCTTCCCACCTCATGTCTCACATACACCAACATAAATTGGCACAATGAATTTGTGGCAAGAACTTCACAAAGGCAGTCACCCTAATGCTGTGGTGTCCTGACATTACCCCAATATCACTGTGAGCTATAAATCAGGTATTTCTTAATCTAGAAGATGCTGCTTTCGTTTGTAAACAGAGCTCACCACAGTGGGGTAAGGGCTGTGACCCCAGGATCTGATCCTTTCCTTCCCCAATGTTCATGGAAAAAAGCCCCCAGTACTCAGCCAAAAGCCACTGGAGAGAACACAATGTTCTTTCAAGACACCATTCCCAGACCAATGTGTCTTGAAGTCTTAGGAAAAAATCCTCAGCACAGCAATCCCAAGCAGAGTCTCTAGAGTGTGTCACCTCTCACAAAGAATTTAAAAAAGCATAGAATCACAAAATGGTTTGGGTTGGAAGGGACCTTAAAGATCAGCTCGCTCCATCCCCCCAAGATGTAAATGCATGAGAACTCTAAAAATAAACTCACATGAATAATACCTCCAATTTTTCATCTTTTCTCCCATACATTAGGTTAAGTTGTACCTGACAGATCTATAGCTATAAAACAGGTTTCTCCCCTCTTGACTATGATTTATGTGGTTTCCTTTGTTTTACTACAAGAGAGATTTTTGAAGTCTCTGTTTCAGCTGGCATAAGATATTTCCAGCAATTCTCCCATTAAAAATGAATTCTAACAAATTACTCTAAAGCCCCTGGGACATTGGTGCAAAAAATCAGTGCACTCTTAAACAGAGTTACAGAATCCCAAAACAGTTTGATTTGGAAGGAACCTTAAAGCTCCTCCAGTGCCACCCCCTGCCATGGGCAGGGACACCTCCCACTAGCCCAGACTGCTCCAAGCCCTGTCCAGCCTGGCCTTGGACACTTCCAGGCAGCCGCAGCTTCTCTGGGCACCCTGTGCCAGGGCCACCCCACCCCCAAAGAGAGCAATTCTTTCCCAATAGCCAAACTGATCCTGTCCTCTGGCAGTGGGAAGCCATTCCCTGTGTTCTGTCACTGCAGACCCTTGTCCCCAGCTCTCCTAGAGCCCTGTTAGGCACTGGAAAGGGCTCCAAGTTCCCCATCCCAATCTGCAGGTGAGCTCCCCCAGCCTGGCTCTGGAGCAGAGGGGCTCCAGCCCTGGGAGCAGCTCCATGGCCTCTCCTGGACTGGTTCCAACAAGGTCCATGTCTGAGGCAGCAATTTCCAGAGCAACACAGGTGTCTTCCCTTATACTTACCACTAATTTATTCACAGGATAAGAAAAATATCATTAACTAAGAATTTTCAGTGTGTCAGGAAGAGCACTGGTAAGACTCTGCTTACAGAGGTCACTCTGTGCCCCCAAAGGTACCTTTGCTCCCTTACTTCACTCCATGTTAGACTGATTAACAAGCTTCAGCACCAAAATGCCAATTTAAGTGCTTTCAGAGGCCCACAGATTCAGCCAAAAAGGGTGGTGACAAGAAGAACAGATCTACAGCCATTTCAAATGGATATCTGGAAAAAGAAAGTACAAGTTTTACACCAGGATCAGTAACAGAATATTTTTTACAAATATTTTACAAACTGGGAGGTTTAATACTTCTCATATATTAATGCCTCCTTCAGAGTAGCCAATGACTGCACCAAGATTAATTTCAATTAATTCAGTTCATTATGCCAATGCCCAGACACTTAATTGCTTCTCTTGCCAGCTGGAAATCCTCAGAGTTTAAGTTATTGCTGAGAAAGGGTAAACTTCATTAGTCTTCTAAGCTCAGCTATTTGCACTGCTCAAGTACTCCTTGCCACAGGAAAACTGAGCAGCATGAGCTACTCCTGTTGTATAAAAATTTAAAGGAGATACATTCCCCAAAAGCAGGCAGCAGGACTTCCCAGAGGGCAGGGAAGGCAACAAGACCAACACTTACCTGCAATGGACCAAAGAAAGAGCCCACCAACCCACCTCCCATCTTAGGAAGACACAATTAAGTCTACCTTGCATCATACAACCACAGGATTTTTCCATATTTATCTTTTCCTTGATTTCTTCTCTACCTTTGTGTGAGCTTCCTTACCCCAGCACTTGCTTCTGCTGCTACTCAGAGCACACCCTACAGAATCCACCTGAAATACACTGGTTTGAGACTGCACCTGCAAATTCCTTTCTTCACACCATCATCTTCTACTTATCTAGCCCAAGAAACTTAAAATTTCCAACTGCTTCTTGATCTGGCTTGTTACATCTTCAGTGCCTTAACGTAAAGAAATATTTACATATTTATGTCTTAGAACTAATTCTTACTGCTACTTCCTGTACTAACTCAGGACACACTTGCCTGAGTAACTGAGGATGTCATTACAAACATTTTCTATTCACCTACTCTCAAACTCTACTGATCACCTAATATCCATTGTCAGAAAGACAAAGGAAACTTAAATTTCATCCCTTATTTCTTTAAACAAGGCTAAAATGCCCACTTGAAAGTCCATTTGAAACTTCCACAGATGCCAGTATGAAGAATTTTCTACATCAAACATATCAGTTTTGTTCCTTGTTTTATTCAGCAGCTTTATGCCAAGTAATTATATTAATATTGTAAGCTTGGGTGCACTTTTATTTTACAGTTGCTGATATTGAGGATTTATTTCATGGCTCAGATAGGAAAGGAATACTTGAAAGTCTGTACAATTCTATTTAGTGCTTTATAAATTTATAAAAGATGAAGGAGACAGAGCAAGGAAAGGCAAAACAAGTAATAACAGCAAGTCAGCTTCTCCAGATTGATGAGAGCTGTGTCTCACTGACTGATTTCTATCAGTGCTCTCAGCTGAGAAAGTTGCCCAAGGGCCTCCAAGGAACAGCAAAGTACTCCAGGAGCCAAAAATCTCTCCCTGACCCAGCACTCGACATAGCACAAGCACCATCCTTCTGATAAAAGCAACACCAGCACTCGAAAATTTAGCTGGTTTTAAATGCAGAGGAGCCTGCTACAGAAGGGAGACATTAACTCCATGTCTCTGGGACAGCTTTACATAGGACATGATGTCCTACTGACTTCATGATCATGTTGAGGATAAGGTTTGAAGTGGAAAAACCCCACTCTCTTCCCTGCTGGAAAAGGGGAGTTATCCTGGCCATTCCCTCAGAGGCACTGACTGCATCAGTGCAGATCATTACCAAAATGCAGCACAAAATGACACTGTGCTGGATCACAGTGTTCTTCCTCCACTAAGCAGCTCCTCTTAGCAGAGAGCCAGCTTTGACAGCTCTAAGGACCAGCCAGAACAATTCCCATCACCTTTCTCCCACTGCATTAAAACTAAAGCCTTCTAGCCACAGGTGAGCAGAAAGCCAGCAACAAATCATTTGAGTATTAGAATGAAAAGAACACAGGCTTTCAGCAAATACTTTATTTTTAGAGTCTAATTGCAGTCATGTGCTCGAGTGACACTGCTGGTGCCACACTGCTCCCACTCGATGGAAAAGAAGGGAGTCCCTGTTTTACTTCAGACATGGCACAGCCCCAGGGTTCAGTGAGAGTCACCTCAGGAAAGCCCAAACATCCCCTTTCAGCTCAGTTACAGGAAAGAACTTTGAGCCTCAGAACCCATGAGGTGTCCTAAGGCTCTGACCCTGAAAATGCATATAAATCCTGTGTGCTGCTATCTTCCCACCCAAACTGTCCACTTCTGCTCCTCTGCTGCATTTTATACATCAAGCAGCCAGCAGACTACACAAAAAAAAGAGGGGAGCAAACCCTGCCCAGATGTGCTGTTTCAATCACAAGCTGTGAAAGTGATGATTTCTCTCTTCACACCACCACAAACCACCAGGCAGGGAGGAAACGAGGCAGGAAACCACATGAAAGAGCCCTGTGAGACAACGCCTCACCCCGAGCTCTGCTGCATCCCTGAGCACCGCCAGCAGCAAAGCAGCTCCTCAGGGAATCACCCACAGCCATTCACAGAATCACAGAATCACTGGGTTGGGTTGCAAGAGACCTCCAAGACTGAGTCCAACCCAGCCTTAACACCTCAACTAAACCCTGGCACCCAGTTCACCAACCTTCCTTCCATGCAGCAGCAGCAGGACAAGCAGGAGCACCGCAGGTACTTACCAGGAGCAGGAAAGAAATTAGAAATCCATCTATTACCTCTGCCAAAGGAATCTGGCGCTCGCTGTGGCTGCAGAGGTCCCGAGGAAAGCCGCCACCAGGAGCCTACGCCGGGAGCCGGGGTGCGGGGCTGTCCCGTGGTAACGCCGCGCCACCGCCGCCAGCCCCGCGGCCACGGGCAGGAAGCGCAGCCGGAACATCCTGCGGGGCGAGAGCGCTGCTTTAGCAAAACAACCGAGCTTCCAAGTGCTGCCTGTCCTAAAGCAGGAAAGGTTTCACAGAATAACTCACGGGTGTTTATTACCTGTTCTGAAAGAGGCACATAATCTGCCTAATAAACAGTTTAAATACCTGTGAGTGTTAGCTATTGGCACACACCTGGCTGTCACATCCAACCGCTTGTCAGCGTTATTCCAGTTCCTCAGCCTTTCCCCAAAACCCTCAGCAAGAGGGAATCTCAGCTTGACTGTGGGACTGTGGACTCCACACCTCTGCAAATGTTCAAGGCCAGGCTGGATGAGTCCTGGAGCAACCTTGTTTAGGGAAGGTGTCCCTGCCCAGCAAAGGGTTGGAACTCGATGATCTGAAAAGTCCCCAACCCAAACCATTGCATAATTCCATGAAATATCTGCAGCCCATCTCTCAATTTCCAAGGCATGCAAGACAGCAGGCAGACCTGATAAGCAACTACAGCAGGTAAGAGGCATTTGGCCAGAAGCAAAGTCACAGCTGCATTTTAAAAGGCAAATTTAGCCAAATAACAAGAAAACCTATCAAACAAAACCCAACCCACGCATTTAAATTTTCCTAAGAAAACCCTACTGCTCTTAAATCCCTTTTTTTAGCTAGCCTGGAGCAAAACATTTATATGCAACTGTAAGTACAGGACAAATTTCAAAGTGTCAAAACTTATAAAATACAATCCATACCCCATTACATGTCCAACAGAACAGAGACAAATGGGAAAGCAGAGCTACAAATCTAAACATAATTACAAGAGAGGAAAAGGAACCACAGAAACGCCACCTCATCACACACCAGCTGCAGGAGGCAAAGCAATTTTGGTGGCTCACAGGATTGAAGGCAAAGGGAAAATGCTGCCTTGGAAAAGAAAATCTGCTGTGTGTTCTTGTGAAATAACGGTTTCATTTCTGAGGCAAATGCAATTTTTTCATTCACAAGGTCAGCCTTAAAACTGGGAACAGAATGGCAAAGGAATTCCCAAAAAAACCACAGAGCAGAGGAGCAGCAGCCTAATTTTCCCTTTTATTCCCCATTCTACTCACATATTCCCAGGCAGTGAATAACCACAGAATACAAAAATAAAGCCACAACTGTTGTTTTCTATTTGCTTCTGCAACACAGGATGCCACCACACCATTCTGCTAAATCATTCACTTCCAAAAATGAGGATCCTGGGACCTGTCTGTGCAAACACCTCTCAGGTGTGTGGTGTGCTAGGCCATTCCCACCGCAGAGCTGGATAGATCAGTGCCACTTGCTGCAGGTCAGGATTCCACAATGGAGGGATGCACAGTTTGGGATGGGAACAGAGGAGGAGAGAGGGAAATCACATCAAATATTCAGCAGATAATTCTGAGGGCTGGAGCTCAGTATCTTTTAAGGCAAGAGGTGGGGGAGAAGGCCCTGAAGACTTCACGGCACAGTAAAAAAGCAATGAAAAATCGTTAACAAATCCCTCAACAGTGGGGTTTTTCCCTATCAGATTCAGACTTTTGCCCAGTCCTGGGACAAGGGAGGTGGGATGGAGCACAAGAGATGGTGGAGGTGGCAAAGCCACTGGCTGCCCATCCATCTCCACCACACAAATTTCAGTGCTCACAGTGAATCCATCCAAACAGCATCCCTTTGATATTCATCTGTGCTCCTATTAAGATTGGCATTATGGCTTTGTTTATTCCTTTTCAAATAAACAGGTTTAAAATTCAAATGTTAATAGAATGCAGCCAGCTAGCAGCACTGATCCTCCAATCCTCTCCAGCTCTGAACAACGAGATGGTTATGAAAAACAACTCTGATTTCAAATTTAAAATTATTTCCACTCTACACAAACCTGATGTTCCCATTTCGTCTCCAGGGATGAATTTCTGTTCCATATGCAGAGGAAAATCTGCATGTGTTCCTTTCCCCAAGGAGCTATCCTTGCCCTTTCTAGGGCTCCCCATCCTAATTACAGCTTTATATTCCTAACATGTATTGGATAAGGGAAGTATTGCCAGTATCATTTAACCAACCAAAATGAAAATTAAGCCCCACAGCATTCACTTGAGAGCTTGAAGAGATTTTTTACAGCATTTCTGATGGTTTGCTTTAGTACTGCATAAATGTTTACTCTGCCTGAGCCTTAAGAAACACTAAACTATCTGCTTTGTCCAAGCAATCTCCATCCTTGATTCTGCTGGGATGTTTACCCTGAGTGTTCACTTGGTAGCAACTGCCTGAGAGATCTGAAAGCAGCCATTTCTCACAACTGCCCTAAAATAAAGAGCATACTTATGTCACAGCAATTAAAAAAATCCCTTTGGAAGCTGAATTTTCCATCTGCAATTTCCACAATCTCTCACAATTTTCTTTTTTTAAATCAGAAGTGCCATGATATTTGGTATATTTGTTTAAAAACTCCAGGCACTGAAGTCAAGATCACTTGAGAAAACTGATGCTCACTTTTTGAAAGACTAAAAATAAGCATCTTGCCCTGTGCAGCAACAAAAAACTCAATACCACAGTCTGAGTAGGGCAAAGAATAAAACTGAGATCAAGTATAAAACTCCCATCAACTGATGTGATTACAGCTTACAATAAGAAGCAATCCCAATTCTTGAATGATTTACTATAATAAAATATTATTTTTCAATAGGATACAACAAAGTAGCTCAGAGGAAAAAAAACCCCAAACACTTAGATTTTATGTTTGCTTATTTTCATTATCTTGGAGTTACCATGATGTTCTAGCACTACAGCTACAAGGAAATCTGTAGATTGTATTTATGTTTCCAAGAGATAAGCCAAGCTTACCTTAAATTCTTGCTCAGAACAGCTCTGTAGTTACTTCCAGAGGTTGAATCAATATCCTTGGACAAATGAAACAGTTGGGGCTTTTTTTTCCAGAACAGAATGACCCATCTACTTTTATTTATGCCACAATTCATAGGTGGATTTTTCAAAGAAGAGTCAACAGACAGACTCAAACCCACTAGGAAAACACCACTTCCAACCCAAAACAGGCTCCATTCAAACTGAGACCACCCAGGTCAGGTGAAAAGAAGAAATGCAACATTATTTCAACAGTTGCATCAGTTCTGGCTAGATGTGGGCATATTTGATATTTGATTTTGATGTGGAAATTTTGATTTCCCCAAACAATGACCCTCTGTCTCCCAATCTGCTCTCCAAGGAAACTGAGACAAGCTGTCCACCCCTGGCCTTTCCAAGCCCTAGATTTTTCCAGTGCAGAAAAGAATTGGAAGATCCCAACTCTTGCATCCTTTTTCTGATACCAAAAGCAGAGAAGAAAAAGACTTGTTCCTGTTTTTCCAGCCCCCTAATTAGCTCATGATTCCAAGACTGAAAGCACTAAGCAGCTCAGCCTGGGGAAAAGGGACTTCCCACACTTGGGTAGCCCCCAGCACTGAACTTTCTGCAGACCTTTTGGGGACTCTGAGCTGATGAAACACTCAAAGCAGCATTTTGATGTCAAAGCTGGCCTTGGCAGCACAAGCATGTGAGAGGGAGAACAGTAATTCAAGAAGCCAATGGGTGTTGAATTTTTCATCACAGAAGGGGTCACAGGCACTTATTTGAACAATTTTACTGGGACATGGTAAGCCCATGAATTGGTGCAGAATGTCAGTTTTAAATTTAAATATACTGCTATGCAGGAAGATTTCTGAAAAAAAAATTGTATTTAGGAGGCACTATTTAGGCATAAAAACTCCTGCAGAGACTGGCTGAGATGGAGTCACTAAGAACTCAAAGAGCTTTCTGGAGCTGTGTGTTTATTAAAAAGCCAAGTTTGACGTTGCCAGAGCACATCAAGACATCCTGACCCAACAGATGCTGTAGGAAAATTCCTCACCTGTTCCAATCTCAGCCCCTGACTGTCAATTATCCCTCAGCCCTGCTCACTGAAGCCAGAGCCAACAGCAGAAGAGTGAGGGTAACAGCTCCCAGCTCTCCTGTCTCCATCTTCTTGAAAGGATTGGGAAGAGGGTAAAGAAGAATTAAAATGGGGAAAAAAGCACAACAAATCCAATGGAAAGGAAAAGTCAATATGCAAGGGAAAGGATGAAGCAATCAGGAGAGACGTTTCACCATTAACACTGAGATTCATAAACCAGGGGGAAAGAAAACCTCATAGCTTCAACCTTCCACCAAAATCAGTTATGACTTCTTCCCAGAGCAGCTGTGGCTGCCCCTGGATCCCTGGCAGTGCCCAAGGCCAGGTTGGGCAGGGCTTGGAGCAGCCTGGGATAGTGAAAGGTGCCTCTGCCCATGGCAGGGGTTGGCACTGGATGGGCTTTAAGGTCCTTTCCAAGGGGAACCATTCTGTTATTCCATGCAATTTGTATAAGAATAACTCCTGAAAGGGTGCCAGGAGGTGCATTCCAGCTAATGAAACACCTGGATCCCCTCTTTCCCCCATTTCCAAGACAGACCCAAGAATTCCTGCTCTTTTCCCTTCCAAGTTTTCAGCTTGCCGAGCACAATTTCGAGAGAAAGGATTTCACACCTTACTGAAGTTATTAGCCTACCAAGACACATAAATCAGTTTTGGGAAAATGAAATCTAGCAGCAAAAGTAATTTGTCCTCAGGTAGGAGATTGGGGCAATACTTGATCCCATTAATTTTGCTGGAGAGGAACCACATTTGTTTCAGAGCACGATTCAAATGGATGTAGAGTCTACCAAGTATCAATCAATGCAGAAACCTAAGCCTTGGCCCAGCAATTTCTTTTTAACTGTCATTGCAGTAAAGTTTCACCTCTTCCTAAAATCCTTAGCCCTGGAAATGACCAATCCCCAACTCCACAGCTCTGTAACTACACCAGCCATGGCTCAGGGATGATCAGTGACATCCCTCCCCTCGTGAGCTGCTTTATTCTGCCAAATAATTGCACTGATTTTCAGGGATAAGGAGAGAAGATGATGCATTGCAAACACAAAAGCTTTTAGATTTAGCTTTAATAAAGCATTTCTAGAAATTGCAGCTGGATTATTTATAAGGATGTAGGGCAGTAGCTGGCTTGGGCTTCCCTTGAAAGGGAGGCAGGAGTGTTTACATGTTGGGGAAAGACTCTGGTGCCACTGAACTGGCAGAAGAAACTTTGTAAACTCAACAGCAACCCCAAATTTCACCTGCAAGCTGAGTCGCCAGAGGATCTGAGAGTGGATGGATGCAGCCACCATGAAGCACAGCTTTGGAGACACAAATGAAAAATGAGTGTACCCAAACAGAGTAAACTGGGCCCATCTGTTGCAGCAGCACTGAAAACAGCACCCCCAGCAAGGCTGCACTATTTCCTTGCTACTTCAGACTGTCAGACTCCAGCAATGCACTGTAGGTTTCTAGGAGGCAGCTATAAACTTGCACAGAAACAAATGCCAAATGCTGCTTTTTCCTGGTTCAAGCTTCCCTTCCCTTCCTCCACTCAAAAAGCAGCACATTCCTTGAGCTTTTCTACCTAGAAAGCACTACAGTAAACCCCAACCATGAAAAGCTCCCTAAAAACACCTCCAGAGATGTCAGAGGTAATTCAGAAGAGCTGTAAAAACAAAAACCAACCGAAAAACTTCTCACCCCTTATTGAGGATAACAATCCTGCTTCACAAGCTATTTCTACCCTACTCAGTAGTGTGAAATTTTCTTTTTCCAGTTGCTATTCTCAAATAATCAGGCTGCCTTTGCAAACCAGCCACTCCAGCAGATGCACCAGAGCACAGGTATTTCCATACTGATTTGAGGAGTAAAGGATCACCAAAGAACTGTTGGCAGAGGGGTAGAAAACATAACGTGTCTGCCTTCTCCTATAAAAAGTTACAGCCAGCAGGAATGCATCTGCTTAATGGCCTGACTCATTTAACTTGCCTTGCACAATCTGTGCCCACAGGGCATGATTTCTCTGAGAATTCCTAACTTTTCCACAGAATGGAGAGACTCTCCTTGAAGCTCCATCCAACAGTCATCCACCTGCATGTACCTCACAAGAAACAAAAAGTATCTCAGAGTAGTCACATTCAAGAAATGTTTATGGCTTACTGGGCTCCAAGAAAACCAGTGTTAACTCCTAATGAATAAGCATAAAAATTAATTCTGGAAAATAAAAATTTAGAACAAAGCAAAAGCCTCCCTAGGCTGACAAGGTGGCAGTTTGGCAGGTTTGAGTTACCTGCAGATACAATTCCAGCTCCAGAAAGAGACAAAGGTTTTTTGAAGGGTGACAGACAGAGGATTGTCTCAGAATTTGATATGGTGAAGTCTGAACTCCTCTCTGACAAGGAGGAAAAAGATTTGTGAACCGCCCAAGAACCTGAATGTCACAATGTGGTAATTCCTCCCTGGCTGAAGTTGCCATTTAAACAGAAACATCACCTACAGCCACATCCTCCTTAAGAAAATGCTTCTTCCTGGCCAAAGAGTTATGCTTTGGTGCCTTTCTTTTCTATACAAAGAAATTTAACTTAAAAACTTACTGAAACAAACAAAAAACAAAAGCACCTGTGTTTCAACTACCAGATGGAGATCATTTGGGAAATCAGGAAAAGAGTACAGCATTGTTTTTCCCCCAAAAAGGAAAAGCAGATCTGAATCACTGCAGTTTCTTTTCCAGCAACACATTGTTGGATAGCTTGGAACTTCAGAGAGGAGAAAAGAAGATGGATAAGCCAGGCTAGTGCCTTGTGCTTTTAGAACACAGCCTGAGGAGCTGGGTTTCAGCAGGAAAAAGCCAGCAGCAAACACTTGGCTCCATCCAAGGTGGACAGGCAGGCAGCACACCTTAGGTCTGTACAACTGGGATTTTTGTGACAAAAACCCCACTGCTCTTCTAGCTCCTGAGGCAAAAACGCCAGAGGCGAGAAGTTCGCACCAAACAAAAGAAAGCACAGAGATTCAAGTGGTGGTACAGAGCACAGCTGGTCCATACAGACACTGGGGCTGGCGTGTGTCAGCACAGCAGCTTTGTCTGCACCACAGACAGGCCACGAATTCTGGAGCCACACAGATTCCCAGGGCTCATGTTTCAAGCACAGGTCAGCTGCAACTCTTCTTGTCTCAAACCATGACCTTCTTTCTTGTTGTCTACATGAGGATCTCAGATTCCATGTCACAGAGCTAAAGTAAGAGAAACAACTAGGAATTTCAGCTTGAAAGACCTTGGAGACCCAGAAAAAAATCCCCAACCCAAACCTTGTGCTAGCCTCAGAGCAAAACTCCCAGTTACAACCACCAGTGCTTTGGTTCTTCCAACCTTGTCCTGCCCCACAGCCACAGACAAGGAGCTCTTCACATGGTGGGACTACGATTAAAAGCTGCCCTCAAGAGAGGTTAAATGCAGAATGCACAGAAGCAAACTCCACAGCAAGTTTCTCTGGGGAAAAACAAGTCACTGTACTCACAGACAGGGCAGGAGACAAACAGAACCCAGGATTTACTACCCAAGGACTTTTCAGGTAAGTCCACAGAAGCCACAGTAAAACAATTCATGATCTAACAGTCTGTTTTTGCTCTTCTAAAGTGTCTTAAATCTAAAACTAAGAGGTGAGGCTGCCACAGGTTTTGGATGGTGTGTGCTTAGGGAGACAAAGTGCCTTAGGCTCTACTCACTTTCTGCTATCAGTCTGTGTAATTTTTACTTGAAGTGTCAAATGAATCACCCTAAAGATAAATATTCATCCTCAGCCTTTCAGTACCAACAAAAGAGCCGCAGAATGATTTTGGACAAGGACATGGAGCAAAAGCACAAGGGGGAATGGCTTCCCACTGCCAGAGGGCAGGGATGGATGGACATTGGGAAAGAATTGTTCCCTGAGAGAGTGGGCAGGCCCTGGCACAGGGTGCCCAGAGCAGCTGTGGCTGCCCCTGGATCCCTGGCAGTGCCCAAGGCCAGGCTGGACAGGGCTTGGAGCCACATGGAATGATGGAAGATGTTCCTACCCATGGCAAGGGTGGAACTGAATGATTGTTAACAGCCTTTCCATGATTCTGTGTTTAAGAGGGAGCCACACCATTGATACCACACTCTTTTAGAGCAATTCAGCTCAAAAAAGAAAGGCAATATTCATCTCAAAGGTGTACAACACCCAAAAACCCTGAGTAACTGTTTCCTGCTAAATTATCCCAAACTACACCATCCCACCCAAAGTCACACCTACACCAAGACACTTTTTCACTGGCACCCCTTCAGTGTCCCAACAGGAAATCACAGCACCTGGAATTAATATAATTAAGGTTATTTTTATTGTTGTACCCAAGCATCCTCAGCCCCCCTGCACTGAGCTGAGTTAAAATATTGGGCCCCAATATGTCAACTGGGAATTTGGGAAGAACAAACCAAGTATTTCCATATCCCAGCTCACTTCTGGAAGTGTTACTGCACCAACTGCAACAACCCGATACAATGTGTTTTTACAACCAACTTAATATGATTGCTACAGAACTTATTTTGCTCAAGAAAATAAAAATGGTTATTGCCACATTCCAAATCTAAACAAGCTGATGGCTCCCTCAACTACCACCTGAAAAAAGTAACATTTCTGAGCTGCTGCTTCAAATGATCAGCAGGTCTTGCAGCCTGAGGACAACGGGATCATCTCTTAACAAACTCTGTCATGAGTTTAGCCAGGAACTTGCAGGGAGAAGTGACACACAGGGCATTCCAGAGGGTCCCCAGCAGGCAGACAGTAATGATGGAACCAAGGCACATCATTCTTTTTCCTCCAGGGCATGGCATTTCAGCTTCCTTGGTTCAGGAAAGCATTAAGGAATACCACAAAAGTTGCTGCAGAAAATGGGTCATTGGGAGAACAAGCCACTTCCACAAGGAAATAAAGAGGGCTGAGCTAATGCATGAGCTTAAGATTCACTGTAAACACCTTGCACCATCCCAGGTGGCTCCAAGGCTCATCCAGCCTGGCCTGGGGCACTGCCAGGGATCCAGGGGCAGCCACAGCTGCTCTGGGCACCCTGTGCCAGGGCCTGCCCACCCTGCCAGGGAACAATTCCTTCCCTTTATCCATCTAACCCTGCCCTCCAGCAGTGGGAAGCCATTAAATGCTCTGTAGCTCCAGATGGATAAATACATTGCTTCAGTACCTTTCATTAGCTGTAGTTATATTTTTGTTGGGGCTTTTTTTAATACCTCCCAGTGTTCAAACACATTTTGAGAGACCACTTCAGGCTTTTTTTGGCGTTGAGAGCTTTTCTACATTTTATGAAAGTGGTGGAACAGCTGAGGTTGGCTTGACAGAAAGCTCCAGGCAGACACTTCTTCCAGGGCTCAGTGTGCCCAAGAACTTGCACCAGGAATGTCAGCACAACTCTGTACACTGTAAAAAAAGGCAACTCATTTTCCTACAGCTTTGAGAAAAGCCCTAAAAGAACGCTACAGGACAAGAATAATTCTACACAAGGTATATTAATCAGCCAAATGATGATTTCACCAGTTAAAGCACCTGAGAGCAGGGAGCTGCACAGCCCAGCACTCAGCAACACCATCCTCACCTGTAGTGTATTTGCTCCCAGTTTGCAGGTCAAGAGGCCACAGGGAACACAGGGAAGTATTTCTCAGCTGGGGCCTGTTCTAAAAATGAGAAAGAAACATAATAAATATCATAACTTTGTGCTGCACCCAATTTCCCTCCTGGCAGCCATGCCCTGCAGTGCTCACACGTATCGACCTCAGGAAATGCATCTCAGACTGAGCCAAAAAAAGCCAGGAGGAGGAAAATGGTCAACAGCTGAATAAAGGAATTAAAGATAAGCCAGGCCTTTAACTCAAGCCCGAGCTGGCAATGAGGATTCTAAAGGAGAAACCTTCAAAATTCCTGCCTGATTTGACCTTCCCACGCCCCCAGACCCCACTAAGCACAGTCAGATTTACCATCTTTCCCAAGCAGCTCATTAAACTACCAGCAAGTACAGAACACATAAATCACGTTGTGATAAACATCAGGCATTTCTGTGCTCTGAGCAGTACATTAACTCAAATTCACCCTAAAGGTTTTCCGACACAAACTGCACATCAAACACAGCTGGGGCCATTCAGCGGAGTTAAAGCTTTAAGGAACCTCTATCAAGACGAAGTGGTTTGACTGAGCTCTAACACACGGCGGTAACTCACAGAGCCCGGGCAGCGCTGCCGGCGATCCCACCGCAGCAAGAACGCGGACCCGAGGCAGCGGCTCGCACGGGGGGAGCTGCCCAGAGCACTCCCTGCACGGCCCCCTCCCTGCCCCAGCCCCGCGGGGTCATGTCCCGGGGGAAGGCACGGTGTCACTGCGGGACGCCGGGATGGAGAAGCCAGAGGAACAGGGAATCCCGAGCCCCGTGTGTCCCGGAAAAGCTGGTTTTCCCTGGCAGCAGCTCTGTCCCAGCTCCGGGGCCTGGGACCCCTTAGCCCCGGCACCCAGGGCCCCTCACTCCCGGGGCCTTGGAGTCCCTCAGCTCCGGGAGGCAGGACCCTGCTATTCCCGGGGCCTGCGACTCCCCCTGAGTCCCAGAGCCCTGCTCAGACCCCGGGACTCCCCTCAGACCTCTGGCCCCATATTCCGGGGCCTTCAACTTCCCCGTGCCTTGGGAACCCCCCGCCCAGTTCCGGGCTCTGGCATCCACTCAGCCCAGGCTCCCATCAACCCCAAGGCCCGGAACACCGCAGCCCCAAGACCGTGGACTCCCGAGCCGTCCCCTCTCCGCCACCTACGGCCCCCTCAGGACCCCGCTCACCTCAACCCCGCCGCCGCCCCGCCCGCCGCGCGCGCGCTTCCGGGGACGGGGAACGGGGGGCGTGGTCTGTGATGCGGTGGGCGTGGTTACGTCGTAGTGGGCGTGGCCTCGGCGCCTGCCGGGCGCCGTGAGGGGCGCGGGGGTCGCCGCGGGTTTTGGGGGAGTCCGTGCGTGTGTAGGGGTTCAGAAACCTCTTTGTGTAGGTCACGAGAGGCTTTTATACAGCGTGTGGTGAGTGTTCATGCGCGTCCTGTATGTAAGGGCTGAGGGGATTGAGTATAGGGCCTGAAAGAGAGTGTGTGGGGCCTCAGGGGCTTAGACGTACTTGAAGGCCTGTATATAGGGTCTCAGGGGTCTATATATATATATATATGTGTGTGTGTATGTATGTATATATATGTGTGTGTATATATATATGTGTGTGTGTATATATATATATATATATATATATATTATGGGTTCTGTGAGGTCTGTATATAAGGTCTGAGGGTCCCACCTATCTATAGGTAGATAGATAGTCTGAAAGCTCTCTATGTAGGGTCTTAGAGGCCCAAATACACAGATAGAGTATCTGTGTATAGGTTCTGAGGGGCCCATATCTATTTATAGGTTCTGAGAGGTCTGTATGTAGTGTCTCAGGGGCCCAGATAGACAGACAGGTAGACAGAGGCTCTGGAAGGCCTGTAGATAGCATCTGAGGAGCCTATATACATGTATCTATATTTATATATATTCTGAAAGGTCTATATATAGAGTCTCAGGGGCCTATCTATGGGGTATGTATATATATATATATATGCTCTGAAAGGTCTGTATATAGGGTCTCAGGGGCTCATACCTGTAGGTCCTTCAAGGCCTGTATACAGTGTACAAGGAGCATATTTATAGGTCCTGCATGGCCTGTCTGTAGGGTCTGAGGGGCTTAGGTACAGGTCCTGAAAGGCTTGTGTGCACTGTACAAGGGGTGTCTCTGTAGGTCCTGGTTAGCAGGGCTGAAGGGCTTGTGTATAGGGCCTGAGAGAGGTATATGGGGTCTCAGGGGCTTTTATGTATCCATATAATCATAGAATGTTCAGGGGTTGGAAGAGATGTTAAAGATCATTTTGTTCTGCTGTAGACAGGGACATCTTCCACCATCCCAGGCTGCTCCAAGCCCCATCCAACCCGGCCTTGGGCACTGCCAGAGATCCAGGGGCGGTCACAGCTGCTCTGGGCACCCTGTGCCAGGGCCTGCCCACCCTCAGAGGGAGGAATTCCTTCCTTCTCCGGGGTCATGGGTAGGTGTGGCAGCAGCTGTGGCCCTGCCCAGTGGCCCAGGAATGGGATGGCAGCAGGAAGGGAAAGTGAGAAAGGCACGCCTGGGTCATGTGCACCTCGGCATCCAGATCGGAGGGAGGACTCACTGCTGAGGAGGCTAATTTTAGCTATTTTAATTTTAGTTGCTTCCAGATGCCTCTTGGGCCGGCTCTCCTCAGGCTTTAATGTACCCCCCATTAAAAAACACATTTTCCAGAGGCATAAATAGACAGTGATTGCTCTTGAGGAATCCAGGAGGCTGCTGAATCCTGACACTGCCCTCCCACAGCGGGAACGCTGCAGGGATTTTCAGGATGAACCTTTTGGTGAGGCTTAAGGGGATCCCAGAGGATTAGAGAGGTCTCTGTGTGGCTGAGGTCTGGCCATCTCCAGGTCCCAAAAAGGGGTGGGAGAAGCAGCCAGCAAACCCTGGCATCTTTGGGTAGCTCAGGTCTGAGCTGTGATGAGACAGGGATTGCCGTCCTGCCCAGCCCTGGGGAATTTCCCCCTATTTTAGGAATTGATCCTATTGCTCCATGAGAAGCTGGGCAGTGCTCAGCTTACAGAAGGTGGCCATCACCGTTCCTTTATTGGCAAGCAGACTCTGCCCCCCGTCTCAGGGCTGTGCTGTTTTATCTGCAGCACCCTGGAAGCACCAACCTTTCTTCTGAATAAAAGGAGATAAAAAGCACTTGGACCTGGGATCCTCCTGAATTTCCTCCTCCACCCATGCCTAATGCACCTGTGGGATTTTGCATCAGTCTCCAGGTGCCTGATTCTGCTGTCTCACAGCCCTGGACATCTGCAGGGGCAAAACTGGCTAATACAAAGTTTAAATAACACAGAGAAATTGATAAATCTATGGACTAAAAGATCATTTAGCTTTTTTTCTTCCTAGCTGCTTTATTTAATCCAAGCACTTTGGGGCATGGGCAGTTTTTCCAAAGTAGTGGCTTTGCCTATGGCTTATCCCACACTCACTTTCTCTTACATCAGTGTTTTATTTGCAGCAGGGAACAATCCATGCCTCTCTCAGCAGTGTCAGGATGGTTGATGAGGGTTTGAAGTTTAAGTTTTCCACTTTCCCACTGCAATAATATTAATTGCAAACTCTGATGTGCTTTTCTCCAGCCATTCTTCTCAGGAGCCGCTTTCCAATATTCAGCCAGCTGTAATTATAAGCACTGGGAGAAAGTCTTGTTAAATACATTTTTTTATTTAGGTTTTCCAAGAGTGGAAGATGCTTCTAGCAGGAGCTATTTGACATGAAATGAGAGGGTTTCATTTTGGTGCCAATATTCTCACCCCTCTCTCTCCTTGCACCTTGGGGAGCCATTCCCTGCTGGCTCGTTTAATTGCCTGGGGTATTGATCCCAGGGCTCACATTTAATTCCCATTTTTGTGCTTTGTAGTGAGTGCCCACACACTCAGCACGGGTTTGCTAATGAAGTTTTGGCCTTTCTGCTGCCCTCTGCCTTTGCTCCAAGCCCATCTTTCCCCACCTCTGTCAAATATTCCCTGGAAACGTGTAAACTCTGCCAAAAAACTTTACTTTGGGTCATTCCTAGCTCCTCTTTAATGATAAATAAATATCTAAATACAGAGTATGAATGGCTGGAGGAGTAGGGAATAGGAGAGAGCTGGGGCAGGGTCTGCTTGCTGTGCCCATCCCTGTCCTCCCTTGGAGCTGCTGGCACTGATCCCTGTAGGAAACCCCATGAGGAGGAGAGCACAGGCTCATCCCAAACATGTCTGTACTCCCCCAGGCAAAAAGAAGATTTGGGGTGGGTAGTTCATGGGGAGAAGAGGTGGCTCTGCCCCCAAGGGACCTTCCCCATCCTGGGCCTTCCTTCCTGCCCCTTTCCTGCCTTTCTAATCTTGCTTTTCCAGCTCGCCCAGGCTGCATTAAGCACAGTTTTGCCATTTTTAGGATTTTAGTCCCCCTGTTCTGGGATGCTGGGAGCTGTCCCAGGGAGAGGCTGATGTCGCAGAGAGGGAAACCCTGGCTGTGGTCCATGAGGTGACTCCTTTGCTGAGATGACTGTGGGAACATCTTCCACTGTGGAGTCATCACTGAGGGCTGTGCTACTCGAAATCCTTTCGAAAGCATTTTTCCTTTCACCATCAGTTTTCAATATGACAGGAGAGCAAAACACAACAAGCAGGGATCAAGCAAAGACTCTGTCAGGTCTGAGCAATGAAGCTCAAGAGCAGCTGCTGCTGCAATTTTTCTCCTTGGTTTTCCACGAAAATGCAAATAATCATTGAAATGCTAAATGTGGGAATTTGGAAAGACAGTGGGTAAATCCTTCCAAAAGGACACAGATGAGGCTTCAACCTCTTTTCCCAACCAACAAAGACAAAGAAGGGAAAGCTCATCCCTGCAGGAAAAATCCAGCCAGAAATGAGGATTGAGGTGGAGCATTTCTCAGGGACAAACTCCAAAATGACATTGCTTGGAGGAAAGCTTAGAACAACCCATCAGGACTTGTGGAAGGCAGCACTGGAGGGAGGTGGGGATGGAAAAAGGAGTGTTGTGATGGTGTGGGTGATACTGAAGCACATCTGTGTCATCCCATGACTTGGTCGTGCTCCTCTCCGTATTTTTAGAAACACAGAGGGATAAATAACAGGCATTAAGAAGGAGCTGCCATCGGTGTTGTAGTAACTCCCAGGCCAGAGGAAAAAGTCTTTTCTAAGTAATCCAGGTACATCATCTTTCAAGAGAAACAGATTGCTTATTTAGCCCAGGTGCTGCAAGGTCTGTGCTGGCAGCCCAAACCACCATGTCTGCAATACACATATATACACATATATACATATACGTACATATATACATATATATATATACACATACATACATATATATATATGTATATCCAGGTATTTTTTGATCACATACTTTTCTTACCCTTCACTGAAACTGCTGTTGGGTGGGGTGCCAGTCTGACCCAGCGCCCCAAATCCCCGTGCCACCCCTACGCTCCATCAGTAGTGGTATCTTTGCTGCACCCCATCTTCCTGCAGCCCCTCCCTGGTGACCTCCCCTTCCCGGGGAGTTCCCCATCTCCCGGCACCCGCTCCCTAGTGCATCCCACCTCCCTGCACCCCTTTCCCGGTGCTCCCCATCTCCCTTGTCCCGTCCCTGGCTGTCCCCCCTTAGGGGTCCCCCCGCGCCCCCTCTTTCCACTCCCAGCCCCGCCCACCCATGGCCCCGCCCCCTCTCGGACCCTCCCATCCTTGGCCCCGCCCCGCGGCGCCCCCGCCGAGGAGTTTCCCTGCCCTCGGGCCCGAACGAGGCCCCGCCCACCGGCCAATCTCCTTTCCGGGCCGCCCACCCGCTCGGCGCCGATTGGCTGCGCGAGCCCCGGGGCTGGCCGGAGAAGCGCAGTGATTGGTCAGCGGTGCCGGCTGGCCCCGCCCCTGGCGCTGGGGGCCGCGGGGAGGGGAGGGGGCGCGGGGGGCGCGGAGCCCCCGCCGGGAGCGGCACCGGCACCGACCGAGCGGGCAGCCAGCGCCTCTTCTCCCGTTCTGCCTCGGCTCCCTTCTCTTCCCGCCCCCCTCAAGGTCAGCCGAGGGAGAGGCGCTCGGGGGGCTTCCCGCATGCCGGTCGGTGCGGGGCTGGCAGAGGGAGGGGGCAAAGCTGGCCGGGCTCTGTTCGCTCCCTTTTCCCTGGTGGCTTTGCCAGGAAAAGAGGGGACTGGCAGCACACGGCTTTCCTGTGTGTCTCAGCGCGGAAAAAAACCTGTAAAGGCAGCAGGTTGCGTCTTGGAGCTCGAAAGATTTGCTAAAAATACCGGGAGGGTTTTTTTTCCCCTATTTTTTCTTTTTAAACTAAGGGAACAGTGTGTAACCGTGGGTTATCCTTCTGGCTTTTGCCACAATGTGTTTTAGTGCTGCCTCTAAAGGAGCTTCTGTCGGAGGTGTGCACCTGTCGCTCCCTTGTTTTGCTCCGAACAAGTAACCGCGGAACTCCGGGGAGCCGCCGGAACCGGGGATTCATCGGGCGGCGGAGCGGGCTCTGAGCTCCGCTGGAGCAGCGGATCCATCGCTGTGCTCCTTCGGGTTGAGTTGTTTGTGCCGGGTAGCTCCGGGCTGCCGCTGGTTCCTCCGGCCCTGTCGGTGTGTTTTGGCAGCCGGGGGATGCCCCGGGTTCCGTCCGTATCGGGTGTCTCCGTCCCGGCGGTCCCGCATTCGCAGCGCGCTCCTTCCCACGTGTGAAGTGTGACTGCGGGGTTAATCCCGGCACCTGCTCAGGTGTGGAATGGCCTTTCCAGCGTCCCTAATTAATATTTGAGCTGTCTACTTTCGCGGTGTGGCTCTGGGAAATAATTTGTATTTATCTAAATTTAAATTGACCTTTGCGATTGATTTAACGGAGACTCGGATTCGGGCTTGGTTTCACTCCTTGGGCTAAGCAGACCAGTAAATGTGTGAAAAAATTATAAAAAAAAACCATTAAAAAGCCGTGAATCTCCTGTGCTTGCCCAGGATACCGAGCAGACGTGACTGAGGTGTGGGCATGTTAAAATCCTGCTGTCAGAGCTGTCTCCTTCAGGAGCTTGGGGAAGGAGGAGGATTTTGCTCGTGTCCTGGGGACTGATGATTAGAAAGCCCTCCTGGCTTTAGTTGGGCTGTGCTGTTTGATTCTTGGCAGCCTGGCTGTGGTGTTGCAGTCATTAGTTTTTGGGGTTTTTTCAACAGGGAGGCTGTGCGCAGGTCGGTTGGGTTGAATCCCTGAGAACCAAGAGTCGGGATCCAGGATCCTGGCAGTTCCTTCTGGCAGCATCTGTGATGTGCCTGTTTATCCCCCCACAGCAGAGATGAGTTATCCTTTCCCTCACACTGCACTTGAGAAACTCTGCAGACCACTGAGAGAGAGCAGCTGAATTCTGGAATAAATGATCTGTGAGGAGAAATTTAAGGAACTGGAGCTCTTCATAATAAAGAGGAAATTGAAAGGAAGTGTTGCTGCAAAGGGGAAGCAGAAAACCAGACCAATCCTTGTCAGGTGGGAGAAGGAATGGGCTTAGAATGTGAGCTGAGTGGTTTGGTTAGGTGCTGGCAGACTTTACTGCCAGTAAGAGCAGTGGAATGCTGAATTATTTCCTGGGAAGGCTGTTCAGTCTTTGTTATCAGAGGTGGTTAGGACAGGTTAGGCTCACATCAATCAGTTATGGCTGATGAAGAATTGATCCTGCTGTGATGGGCCTGGGATGTACAAGCTTCCTGACACCATAGATTAAATTAGGAGAGATGTAGGAAGAATTTCTATAATATGGGTGTAATTAATAGAGTGGTTACGTCAGGTGTGTCTGTGCAGTGTTGTTTTTGGTACTATCAATTCTACTTGGGTACTTCTCAGGATGGCTGGTTTCTCACAGAGGTGATAAATTAAATGGGCTTTCTTTGAAACAGGGTGGAAATGCTAAATGGTCTTATGGATGAGTTCTTTCAAAAGCAATATAAATAATGCTGGAAGAAACTGCACCAGTAGACCAGATTACTGTGAGAGGACAGAGCTGTAAAACAAATAAAAAAACTCCTCCAGATGGGTGAAGTACAAAGGAGGAGGTTTTGATAACACCAAATGGGAGAGAGGGCAAGGAGGTGAACAAATACTTGGATTATGAGGGAACAGTTGGGAGTACATCAATACTGGGGGACACAGGGCTTGAGTGAAGCATTCAGAGCTTGCTTGAGAGTTCTGAAACCTGGGGGAGCTGGGAAAGCTCAGTGGGCTCAGCATGGAGATGTTCCCACAGGGACAATCCTGTAGGGAGAGTACCACGAGTCTGTCCCCAACAGGGTCACAAGGGGTGAGAGATCTGGGGAGGGGGATGCAAGAAACTTGAATGAGGAGTTTGTTCACTGATCTTGGAGTAGGGATAAGCAAGAAGGAGGAATTTTTTACTGATATTTGTAGATTTCCCCTCTGAGTGTGGTGGTGGTGTGCATTTCAGGATGGCTGGGCAGGGTGAGGAGGCCTGACCATGGAGCAAGTGGGGCTTGGGCATTGGAAGAGTGTGACAGAGCTGAATAAATGAACTTGGAGCACAAGTATCAGAGGCTGCATCTCTTTCCAGTCTCCCTGTTTGGCTACACACACGTGAGGGTGGAGGAAGCCAAGTTCCCAAATGTGTTTGCAGTGGAGAAGGTGCTGGAGTGGGCCGTGATGCGTGGGAGGCCACACGCCCTGTTGGGCAGCTTGTCCTCTGAGGGGCCTGGACAGAGGATTCAAGTGGGGCTTTTCCTCAAAGGAAACTTCCTAAGGGAACAAGGGAAGGCCTTGTCTGTCTCCTGCTTGTCCCAGGTGCTGTGGAAGTTGAGGGTCAGCTTCCCAAGGGCTGAGGTGTAGTGGGGCTGGGAAGCAGGCCTGGAAAAGCTTCACAAGGAAGCAAGCTATAGATGGTTTTCAGTGATGTGGAGGTAGACAAAATACTTAAATGAAGCACTCTGCTTTTGTGTGTTGAACAGCTAATCCTCGTGGCTTTGTTCCTGCAGAGATTAGAGGCTCCTGTTCCTGCATTTCCTGGTGCCTGTGGCCAGGGGTTGAGTTATGTTGGATTGGAATGTAATCAGCTGGTGCAAAAATACCTATAGAAAATCAAGGGCTTGGCTGTGCGTGGCATTCCTGTGTTAGTTCATTTTAGCAGCTCTGGGCAAATCAGGAATATTGACTCCTAGTGCCTTCTTCTAAGCCTAAGAAGGAAAAACTGAACCCATCTGAGCTGCAGTCAGGTTTTGAGAAGGTATTGGACAACCTGCAGGTTTTCTTTCTGCTCCTGATGAGAACCAGGGTAACCTGCGCTGATCCATCCTCCAAGCCAGGTAGGATTTTTGGTGCAGGTGGCCCAGGTCTGAGGATGTAGTGGAGACTGTATCCTGCAAAGATCTTGCTCTTGTGCCAAGAAGAGATGGGATAAGCCCCACGAGGAGGATGCAGGGGACATCCTGCTGCAGCTGTCCTTTAGTCACCATAGATACAATGTGTATTTAGTGGGTTTTTTTCCTCTGCAGCATTGACTTCCAGAGAAGCTGTAGCTCAGTAGTGTGGTCATAATTTCCTGTGGGACCACCTCAAGTCCTGAGGGCAAGACATGAGGAGCCTTTGCTTCTTTTTTGCCAGGGTCAGGATTAAATGTGTGAGATGGTAATTCTTGTTTGGACTCAGATGTTTGTTAGTTCTTATCTATGCTACAGTCTCACAAACCCTGGGTTCTGCAGCACTTTAACACATACTGCTGATTGTGGTTTTCCAAGGAATGATTAAAAATCCATGCTAAAGGGGATGACCAGCAAATATTTTTGAATGTATGAAAGTGGCTAAAATCAGGGAACACACTGTCAGGGCTCTCTATGTGAAAGAGGAGCACAGTACAAGGACTAGATGTTGGTTTAGGGTTTTTTGACAGTTATTTGGTGGTGTTACCATTTTTTTTATTATTTATCATATTTTTATTATGGAACACACTTTCAGGGCTCTCTGTGTGAAAGAAGAGCACAATACAAGGACTAGATGTTGGTTTGGGGTTTTTTGACAGTTATTTGGTGGTGTTACCATTTTTTAAAATTATTTATAATTTTTTTTATTTATTATGGGCATAATCAAGACTTTGAATCGAGGGTCTGTGATGGGAAAGGAAGTTACAGTCATGATCAAGTTGATGTTCTCACTAATAAAAAAATTTTAGAGCATTTCTTTTTCCACAAGGGGAGTGTTTCTCATCTGTGCTCAGACAGGAGGGATACAGTTCTCCTGACCAGAGCCAAGTCTTAGAAGAAGGAAAGAAGTTGTTCTTTTTCTAAAGCTGTTTTAAGACTCATCTTAAAGAGGAAACTTCCTGTGAGGTTAGGCTCCTCCCAGTCTGGAGAGTGAAACATAACTTTTATGACTTAATTTCTGATTTGTGCTATGAGTCACTAGTTTGCCATTCTATAAAATAACATTGAGCTGACTCAAATATGCAATTTAAATTATTCACCTGATTGTAGGTCTGTGGAAATATATTGTTTTAGATTTGGGTGGCTCGATTTTTAAAAAAAAAAACTATTATTCATTTATTGCAGTGTCAGTTGGCGGTCAGCCACTCCTCCTAAAATCTCTCCTGCTGCTTTCTACTTCTGTGGCTTCTGGTAGGATGAGTAACTGTACTGAAAAACTTGAAATTTGTTGAAACTAGATGAAGCTGTGTTCCTTGTGCTTACCATGGGGGCACACTTCTTATTTCTGAAGTGCTCTTGAGACCACCTGTGTTATTGCTGCTGGGGATTTCATCATATTTTCACTTTCCCAGGGCAAACTACAGCAATCAGGCTTTAAGGGCTACTTTGTCCTTGAGTATTTAATGCAGAAAATGAAACGACCCGTGCTTCTGCTGTTAAAGATTCTGCAGAGGGTTTTCTCCCTGTTATTAAGGTCTCAAATGGTCATCAAAATGAGATGTCATCTTAATGAAGATGAAAATAAGCAGCACTTGAATGTGATGTGGAATTAGTTTCCAGCAGGACGAGCCTGTGGGGTATGGCTTTTGTCTCATGTAAAACACAGAGCATGTCCACTATCT